TGCAGCTGAGCCCGCAGTTCCGGGGATGCATGATGAGAGTGGCTTGTCGAGCGCCACGCGGTGCGTGTTTCCCTGTGGCGGTGAAAGGGAACGGTGTGATTGCTGCGCTGCGGAAGCATCATCACAATTAATTGCATATAGCGTGGTATAAATGTTCATATGTTAAAGGAGAAATAGTTCATTAGTGGAACTAAAGCTTCCCCCCAGCCGTGTAAAGTATTGCAACACTAGTATTGAGTATTATTGAATGCATGAATTGCATTTCATCCTCCTCACTGTTCAGACTTTCGCGTGGAGTGACAAAACGGGGAGAATGCAAAAGCGATCGCTCCAGTAAAGCAACCAATCCAAATTCACGTTCAATTTTGCCACGGAAGCCACTCCGCCAGCTCAAACTCCAAGATCCGCGCCATTAACGACCACTCACAGCTCATCTCGACCGCCACGTAGAGAGCGGGAGCCACGACGGCGCACCCATCAACCCAAAATAAACACCATCACACGAAGAAATCCAGGCCACACTAATTTCCCTGCGCTACTACAGTGACGAATGCGCGGTCGCGGGCGCAACTTTGTCGGGGGAGACAAGCGGAACAAGGCCAGAGACAGCGCCAACGCATCAAGACAGATTTTCCCCTGACAAGGCGCCGAAGGTCCGGTCCGGTCTCCCTAGGTTCGTCTGCTCGCTCCCGCCAGCTGCGCCTACCTGGGCCCCGCCGCCACAGCGGAGCAGAATTGCAGAGAGACTGGGCTTCGGGGGAGGGGGCCAGTCTCCGCTCCGACTCACACACATCACTCCCGCCGATCACATTCCAGGGCTCGCGATCACAAGAGAAATACGCATTTTGCGGCAAAACTGGCCCATTTTGGTTTGGACTGACGGAAATCGTGTTTGGATCGCGCACACGCCGATACGTAGTCTGCCTCTTGTGCGCCTCTTGAGCTTGTGTAGTTGCCTCTGTTGCAGCATGGCGACAGCGGTGATCCAGCCGCATTGCCATGCGGCTGTTGCCGGCGCGTCGCGCACGCGGCTGGCGAAGCCGTCGTCGTCGCAGGCGTCGCACATAAAATCGCCGATCTATGGCCGTCCCGTCGCGGCCAGCGCGTACCTCGAGTCGCACGCCGCCATCGTCGCAGCCTCACCGATCGCAACCTCTCCTTCCTCCGCGATCCGCAACCGCCGCCAGAAGCGCCGCGCCGTCATTTCCGCAACGGCGGGCGACGGCGGGGAGGGTGCGCCGGCGCCGGTACCGGTTCCTGCGGCGCCCGTGGCGGCGCCATGGAAGGGCGCGAACATGAAGACGCTGGGAATATCGGTGGCGACTGGCGTCGCGATGTGGTACTGCCCGCGGCCCGAAGGCGTCGCGGCTAACGCGTGGCAGCTTCTGGCGATCTTCCTCGCGACCATCATCGGCATCATCACTCAGGTGTGCTCTCGCGCCGCAACGTGCTCTCTCGCCGCAATGTGCGCTCTCGCCGCAATGCGCGCTCACGCCGCAATGTGCCTTTTACAGCAGGAATGTGCGCTCCTGTTGCAACAATGTGCGCTTTCGCTGTAAATGAAAAGCGACCCACGTTTGGACGAAGCGCCGGGATTAACTACTTCAAAGCACCAAAGGGTGGAATATGTACTGTGTGCATGCATTCTGCATTACGTTCAATCTTTTCCCTCCTCCTGCGACCACTTCCCCTTTTTGTCCCTCCCCCGTTCCTGTTCCGCGCAGCCGTTGCCCCTGGGAGCGGTCGCGCTCATGGGTCTGGGCGTGAGCGTGCTCACCAAGACGCTCACCTTCGCTGCTGCCTTCAGGTAACATTGTGTAACACTGTAACATTCGTAGACAGTGTATTAGTGCAGCTTCTGTGTAGCCCTGTATTATTGTGGGCTTATAGCACTCGTCGCTTGCGCGTACTTATTTACGATAATGTACCCCCTTACCTCCCTCTCCCCAACCACCTCCCCCCCTGTCCCCTTCGTTCCACACGTGCTCTTTTCCACCCACTCCCCCCGTCCCTTCCCCCTCTCCTTCGGCAATCCAATCGCTTGATTCATCACGCTGCCCCATTCTACCTCCCCCTTCCCCTTCCTCCCCCTCTACCACCCCGCACATTCCGCAGTTCCTTCGGCGATCCCATCCCGTGGCTCATCGCGCTCGCATTCTTCTCCCCTTCGCTTTCCCCTTCCCCCCCCGCACTCCCCTCCCTTCCCCCACCCGCTTCCCACCCAATCCCCCCCGCTCCGCAGCTCCTTCGGCGATCCCATCCCGTGGCTCATCGCGCTCGCATTCTTCTTCGCCAAGGGCTTCATCAACACGGGTCTCGGCAACCGCGTTGGTTACCAGTTCGTCGCCGCTTTCGGCAGCACGTCGCTGGGCCTGGGCTACAGCCTCGTGCTCTCCGAAGCCATGCTCGCGCCCGCCATCCCCTCGGTCTCCGCGCGCGCGGGCGGGATCTTCCTTCCGCTGCTCAAGTCGCTGTGCCAGGCGTGCGGAAGCCGCACGGACGACGGCACCGAAAAGAAGCTTGGCTCGTGGCTCGTGCTCACCTGCTTCCAGGTAGGTTCGTTCATCTACGGTGCTTCCAGGTGCCTTCCTCAATCCGTGGTGCTCCAGATATCAAGACACGTGTCCCCTTTTCCCAGCATTCCCGGGTCCCTCACCTCCCCCTTTCCCCTCCCATCCTCCCACCTGCGCTTCCCCTCCCCCCACTTCCCCCTTCCCCCTCCCCCCGCGCCTTTCCCCGCGCCTTCCCCAGACGTCCATCGTGTCGTCCGCCATGTTCCTCACGGGCATGGCAGCCAACCCGCTGGCCGTGAATCTCGCGGCGGGCGCCATCGGCCACACGATAGGCTGGACGGAGTGGGCCAAGGCGGCGCTGGTGCCCGGACTCATCTCGCTCGCCGTCATGCCCGCGCTGCTCTACGTTTGAGGCGCCTCAAGAGTCATGCCCGCGCTGCTTTACGTCATCCACTTCCTCTAAACTCCCACTTCCCCTTCCGCTCCGCCACTTCCCCCCTTCCCCCTCCCCCCGCGCCTTCCTCCTCGCCTTCCCCCGCGCCTTCCCCCGCCCCCTCCCCACCACCCCCCCCAGACCTCTATCGTCTCCTCTGCCATGTTCCTCACCGGAATGGCAGCCAACCCGCTGGCCGTGAATCTCGCGGCGGGCGCCATCGGCCACACGATAGGCTGGACGGAGTGGGCCAAGGCGGCGCTGGTGCCCGGACTCATCTCGCTCGCCGTCATGCCCGCGCTACTCTACGTCATCTACCCGCCGGAGATTAAAGCCAGCCCCGACGCGCCGAAGCTCGCGCGCGAGAAGCTCGCGAGCATGGGGCCGATGAGCACGAACGAGAAGATCATGGCGGGCGTGCTCGTTGGCACGGTACGTATGTGTTGTGTGTGTGTGCGTATTGCGCGGCATAGGCAATAGTGTGCCACATTTGATGCGTCTTAAAAGGGCAGAAGAGCGGGTATGGGGCCGATGAGCATCTACGTGAAAGCTCATGGCGGGCGTGCATATTTGTGCGTTGTGGTATAGTGCGGTGAGATGTATCAAGCCTCTGCTACACACTGCGTGGCACAGCCGACCGGACCAGGTGACGCCGGATTTAAAACCAGAGCTGCAAAAGAAGCCTACTCGTGCAATGAGGATCTGTCTCCTCTGTGTGAAACATTTTTTATAATTTCAGAAAAAAACACCTCATTCTCTCCTTAACCTCTTCTTCTCCCTTTCCCCTCCGTCCCTCCCCTTCTCCTCCCCCCCACAGGTGGGTCTGTGGGTGTGTGGCGGCGTGCTAGGCATCGACGCGGTTACCGCAGCCATCATGGGGCTGAGCGCGCTGCTGATCACGGGCGTGGTGACGTGGAAGGAGTGCCTGGGCGAGGGCGTGGCGTGGGACACACTCACATGGTTCGCTGCTCTCATCGCCATGGCCAATTACCTCAACAAATACGGGCTCATTGCATGGTTCAGCCAGACGGTTGTCAATGTGAGTTATTGAGAGAAGTGGCGAGTGCGAGTGAATCTGTGTGTGTTTGAGTGGAAGGGAGGGAGTGAATGCCGGTGAGTGTGAGTAAGACGCACTAAACCATTATGTGGCTTGCTGCGCTGCGCCCCCTCCTTTCCCTGCAATTTCCCCCCTCCTCCACACACCCCCTTTCCTCCCCCTTCTAGCTCGTTTCCTCCATGGGACTGGCATGGCAGCCTGCCTTCGGCCTCCTCGTCATCCTCTATTTCTACTCCCACTACTTCTTCGCCTCCTCAACCCCTTTCCTTTCCCCCACCCCTTGTCTCCAACCACCCCCACTCGCCAGCTGGTCTCCTCCATGGGTCTCGCCTGGCAGCCTGCCTTCGGTCTCCTCGTCATCCTCTACTTCTATTCGCACTACTTCTTCGCTTCCGGTGCCGCGCACATCGGTGCCATGTTCGTTGCCTTCATCTCCGTCGCCTCGGCCCTCGGCACGCCTCCGCTGCTCGCTGCCATGGTTCTTTCCTTCATGTCGAACCTCATGGGTGGGATCACGCACTACGGGATTGGGTCCGGCCCGCCGTTTTACGGGTCGGGGTACGTGTCGCTCAATGATTGGTGGTTCTACGGGTTTATCTGCAGTGTGGTGAACCTGGTGATCTGGCTCGGTGTGGGCGGTCTGTGGTGGAAGTTTCTGGGGATCTGGTAGAGGGAGAGGAGAGAGGAGAGACAGGACGGGGGGAGAAGGAAGGATTACAGTCCATGCATATGACTTGCTGAATGATCAGTGCAGGCTGGTTATGTTATGACTGCGGTTTCAGCTTCTATGATAAATATGATCCACCGTACATGCACTACGTATCACCTTGAGACTGGTCCTCGTTGGGTTACCGGTATTTGAATTAAATGGTGTACAGGTAAAGAAATGAGAAGAGGTTTCAAGCAGAAATACCGTACCAATTTTCCCTCAACATGTTGAGAAATAATAAATAAATTTGACATACCAAAATTGTAGTATATCAGTATATGTATATTGCTATGCTGTCCCCTCAGCCTCCGTGACTGCAACCTGTTCATTCCACTGCGCACGCGGCGGCATCGGCTGCGAGTAGAAATGCTTGGTCTTTCTCGGAGTGCTGCTGCTACTAGTCGCTCCCTCACCACTGCCACCACCCCCACACCGTCTCCCGCTCCCATCCCCACTTCCCTTGACATTCTCCCTGCTGCTTCCCCCAAGTAGCTTAGATCGTCGCCCCGAACCACCAAATTCCCCTCCTGCTTTCCCACTCACCCTCTCCCCCTTCGATCTCTCCCCTTTTGATCTCTCCCCCTTCTCCCTCCCAGACCTGCCTCCAGCCGTACCCGGCCTAGAGCCTCCCCCTCCCCCACCTCCCCCTCCCCCACCTCCCCCTCCCCTCCTCCCCCCTTCCGCCTCTGACTCACTGTCCATAGCTGCTGCAGCCCCGCCCCCGGTGAAACACCCCACTATCGCCCCTCCCTGCATGGCCTTGCGCAGGCGCCTGGTTTCCAGCAGCGAGGGGGAGAGCATGGAGGAGGAGAGGGAATGATCAAGTGACAGGCTCCCGTCAACCCGAGCAGCAGCAGCAGCAGCAGCTGGGCTCTGGGAATCCCAATCCGTGACACCAGCAGCAAGCATGGAATCTGAAGAGAAGCTGCTGGGGGGAGGGGTGGAGGGGCGAGGGGGCGTGGTGGGGGGAGCCGTGGTCACTCGCATGGATCTAGACTTGCCAAAGCCCCATCGCTGCGACCCCCAGCCTCGAGAGGACGAGGAGGAGGAGGAGGCGGAGGAGGGGATTGAGGGGATGGAGGAGGGGAGGGAGGAGAGAGCGGAAGAGAGCGCGGAGGAAGAGGAGGAGGAGGAGGAGTGGGGGTCGGTGGTATCGGTGGAGAGGAACGAGTCGGTGCTGACTTGGCGGGCCACAGAGGAGGCGGCGGAGGAAGAGGCAGGGACGGAGGAGGAGGAGGAGGAGGATGAAACGGCTGAGGAGGATGGTGGGACGGATTTAGGGTTTGCAGCCGCGCTGCTGCTGGTGTTGCCCTGCCTGCTGCTGCCACCGGTGGCACTTCTCTTGCTGCTGCTTCTGCTGCCGCTGTTGGTGCTCCTCATGCTGCTGCTCCGCTCTTGATCGCCTCCCCCGGACTCACCTCGTCTCTGCCTGCCTGCCCCTGTGGTCGCCTCTAACCATGCCTGCCCCTGTGTCTCCCTCTCCTGCTCTCCTTCTCCCAGCCCACCCCCAGTCGCCTCTCTTGCTCCCCGCCCCTCCCCACTGGCCTCTCTTTCCCCCAATTCTCCCCCCACGTCCCCCCTTGCCTCCCCCCGCCCCAGTCGGGACGAGCGGGGGGAGTCAGCAGGGGAGGGGGTACCAGCAGGGGAGAGGAACGGGAGGCCCTGAGGGGAGAAGCACCCAGAGGCTTGCCCGGGGGAGGAGCGACCAGGGGAGAATCGACTGGGGGAGGCGTCACTTGGAGAGAGTCGGCCAGGGGAGGGGCGACCAGGGGAGGAGGAAGCACAGGAAGCTACCACGAGCCTGTCCGCCTGAGGGCTGCAGCTCTGGCTCTTACACACCCCACCGCCGCCGCTGCTTCTCATGCTCTCCTTGTCTCTCCGCCCTCCGCCTCCCTGCTGCTGCAGAAAGGAGTTGTCGGATCGAGAGGACGGGATGCGCGGGCGAGAGTAGGTGGCGGGAGGAGGAGGCGTGGGGAGACGAGACGGGGAAGACGAGGAAGAATCACAAGGACCAGCACCGGTAGCAGCAGTGCCTGCAACAGTGCCTGCAGCGGTAGGTGCATCTGCCCCTTTAAACCGGCTACTACTGGGTCTGGACCTTGTGGGCCGGCCAGAGGAGGGCCTGCTGGGGACTCTCGAAGGAGAGTCAGCAGGGCTCCTGCTGCTGGTGCCACCGGTGCTGCTGGTTTTGTTGCCACCACCATCGCCACCAGCCGCCGCTGTCGTTTCAGCAACAGGCGCGGTGTGAGCTCGTGGAACCTCGTTCTCCTCCTGCTTCTGCTTGCTCCTACTTCTCACTCTACCACCACCGCTGCTGCTGGAGCCCTCGCCCTGACTGCTCTTCTTAGCCCTACTGCCTCCTGCCCTGCTCCTTCCACCCTGCTCCGCTTCACCCAACCCCTCCCCGCTTCCCCCATTCTCCCCACCCCTTTCCTCCATGCTCCGACTCTGCTCCTCCCCCTCCCTGCCCCCTGCCCTCCCAGTCCCCCTCCTCCCATCACCCCCCCTCCTCTCCGTCCCCCCACCTTCAGAGCGAGACACAGGGATGGCAGAGGGCAGGGGAGCAGCACTGGCAGGGGACTCAGGGGGAGTCACGAAGGCTGGGCTGCCTGTGCCGTCACTGCTGCCATTCACACCACCGCCGCCACCAGCACTACCAGTACTGCTGCTCTTGTGTATACTCATGTTAGTGGCCGTGCTTGTGCCCCTGCCGCCCTCTCCTTCCCCACTGGAGCAAGCAGCAGCAGCAGAACCACTGGCACCAAGTTCGGCGGCAGCAGAGGCAGCAGCAGCAGCGCTGGCAGCGGCAGTGGCAGCAAACGATGCAGCAGAGGCGGAAACAGTAGCAGCAGTGGGTGCGGGCGTGTGCGGGCGGTGACACTGCGAGCCCTTCTCCCGCAACACACCACTGTTAACCACGCTCTGACTGTGACCTGCCTCCACATCCGAACCTGCTGAAGTTACCGAAGCTGTCGAAGCTGCCGAGGCTGCTGAAGCTGCCTCACCACCCCTCGGCGTTTGCGCGCGTCTAGCCTGGCACGAGTCGTCATGCACTTTAGTCACCTCCCCCCCAAACCAGTCCTCGTCTCGCTCATCCATGCCGCACGCCTTGCGGAACTGGCGCTCCGCCTCGGCCACCTTCTCTGCCACGAGCTGGGAGTAGTCGAGGGAGGCGGGCACCTGCGTGGACACACAGCCTATTGGGGACTCCACCCCGCAGATGCGGCACAGGCCTAGAAGGACGTCTACTAGAGTGGCGTTCACTGCTTGCAGATTTGCGAAGTAGAACGTCTGGGAGGGGGGAGGAGGGGGGACAGCGAGAAATGGGGGGATGAGATGTTTCAAACCTGCGTGGAGACACAGCCAATGGGCGACTCCACTCCGCAGATGTGGCACAGACCTAAGAGCACGTCCACCAATGTGGCGTTCACGGCTTGCACATTCGCGAAATAGAAGGTCTGGGTGGTTGGAAGGGAAGGAACGGAGGGAACGGTTGGAATAGGGGGGAATGGGAGGGATGTGAGTGGGGAGGGATGTGAGTTGGGAATGAGGCACTTCTCACTGCTCAACAGCAGCAGCAACAGCGGCAGCAGCAGCAAAAGCAGCAACAGGGGTGCAAGCAGTGCATGTCAGCAGCGACTGGAAGATTCACCCACCTGCATGTGAGAAACCGTCTCCGAGGAGTCAAGAGCAGCTCCAGGCGTGTGCAGCGAGTCGCAGGTAATGGTTTTGTGCGCCAAGGTGGGCAGCAGTAGCAGAGCAGGAGTGTAAGTGCACCAGCCTCAAACCACAACCAGCCTCAAACCACAACCAGCCTCAAACCACCCACCTGCACTTGAAACACTGCATCTGAAGAATCTAACGCAGCTCCGGGCGTGTGCAGCGAGTGCCAGGTGATGGTGTTGTGTGCCATGGTGGGCAGCAGCAGTGGCAGCAGCAGTGCAGGAGTGTAAGTGCATATAGCATACAACATAAGCCACAACCAGCCTCAAACCACCCACCTGCACTTGAAACACTGCATCTGAAGAATCTAACGCAGCTCCGGGCGTGTGCAGCGAGTGCCAGGTGATGGTGTTGTGTGCCATGGTGGGCAGCAGCAGTGGCAGCAGCAGTGCAGGAGTGTAAGTGCATATAGCATAAAACATAAGCCACAACCAGCCTCAAACCACCCACCTGCACTTGAAACACTGTCTCTGAAGAGTCTAGCGCAGCCCCCGGCGTGTGCAGCGAGTGCCAGGTGATGGTGTTGTGCGCCATGGTGGGCAGCAGCAGCAGCCCGCGCTTGAGATTCGCCTCCACGCGCCCGTCCGCCTGGAAGTTGAGTGCGTCCTGCAGCTGCACTCGCAGCAGGTACTGGATGTTGCGCGGGAGCATCTCGTACAACTCGTCTCTGCACCATAGGGGAGAGAGAGGAGGGAAAGGGAGTGGGGGACGGTGTGAAGTTGAGTGCGTCCTGCCGCTGCACGCGCAGCAGGTACTGTATGTTGCGGGGGAGCATCTCGTATAGCTCGTCCCTGCGCGCACCAGGTGAAGGGGGAATAGGGGGTAGGTGGGGGGGAGAGGGAGTGGGGGACGTGGGGAAGGGGAGGTGGGAAGGGAGGGGTGGAGAAGTTGAGTGCGTCCTGCAGCTGCACTCGCAGCAGGTACTGTATGTTACGGGGAAGCATCTCGTACAGCTCGTCCCTACAACAACAAGGGGAAGAGGGGCCGGGGAAGGGGGGAAGGGGTGGAAGATGCGTGCGTCCTGCAGCTGCACGCGCAGCTACCATGGCATGCCACGCCACGCCATGCCATTGCCCTACCTGGTGGGTCCCAGCACTCAAAAGAGCCCGCCAGCCCGCCAGCCCCCGGCTGCTGGATGATCCGCTCCAGCAGCACCACCACGTTGGCATAGTGCAGCGCGAGCCACTAGGGCTATCAGCTACCGTACCATGACATGCCACGCCATCCCCTTCCCTTACCTCGTAGGTCCCAGCACTTCATCCGGCTGTTGTATGATCCGCTCCAGCAGCACCACCACATTGGCATAGTGCAGCGCGAGCCCCGCCTCCCCCACACACGCCTCCCGGATGCGCGGCGGACACATGCCGTGCCCGAACGCTGCAAATATCTTCTTGCGCACGTAACAGGCTGCTATGATGAGCAGCTGAGGGGTGGGAATGGGAGGGATTGGGGTGTGGGGGTGTGGATAGGAGTTGAGGAGACGGTGTGGGGGGAGCAGAGGCGAGGCGGACATATGCCGTGGCCGATGACTGCAAAGCCATTCTTGCGCACGCGCACATCAGGCCGCTATGAAGAGCAGCTGGTGCATGGGGTGGACAGGGTGTTGTTGATGCTGATCTGATCCTAATGTAAATGTTCGGCTAATGCATGGCGCATGGGCACGCCCAAATATCAATGGGTTCCAGGCGCACCCACCTGCACGAGGAAGTCGAGGTGGTAGGCCCAGAGGCAGTGGCCCTGCAGCTTCTCCACCAGCTTGCCCTGCGTCACCATCTCCTGCAGCGAGTTCCACTCCCCGTACTCCTGGATGCTGCCAGGCGGGGGAAGGGCACGCGGGGGACGGGGCGAAAGAGGGATAGGGGGGGCATTGACAGGCGTGTCAGCAAGAGCAACGGCGCTACCAGCTTGCCCTGAGTAACCATCTCCTCAAGGGGTACATGGACTGGGGGGAAGGGGCAGGGGCCAAGAGGTACGAGTGCGTCACCATTCCCCCGCCACTTCCCCGCCACCGTTTTCCCCGTTTCATCCAACCCATTTTACCTCCCCCCCTCCCCCTCCCCAACCCCTCGTTCCCGTTCCCCCCACCCCTCTTTCTCATGGCGCGCGCTCTCCGGTTGTGCAGCTTTTGAATGGACTCCATCTCGCTCTTCAGCTCGCTCGTCCCTGAGGCGCCTCAAAAGTTGACTATTGAGGCGGCTTATCCGTCGACATCCTAAGGCGCTCTAAAGGTCGCTTACCGGCTGTGCAGCTCCTGAATGGACTCCATCTCGCTCTTCAGCTCGCTCGTCGCCTCCGCTTGCTCGCGCATGAACCTGCCGTGTCAAACCGTGCCATACCGTGCCATACAGTGCCACACCGTGTCATACCGTGCCAAACCGTGCCACACCGTGCCACACCATGAAGTGCAAGTACCACGCCATGCGTGAAAGCAAGGGAGGAGAAGGAACGTCGAACGGAACCGATGAGAACAAGACTCGCAACACCATGATCTGTCCAGAATGATCATCCACATCGCAGGACTCACACTACCCCTGATCAACATCGTATTACCTTAAAATCACCACCAATTCAGCTCTTTTAACGATCACCTCCCCTTCAGCTTACCTAAGCAGCACCTCCCCTTCAGCGGAAGACGCGGAGAACATCTTATAATCGGCATCTGTGCTGTCGAGCCGCGCAAAGAGCCGCTCGAGTCGGTGTAGTCGCGATTCCCGGCACTTGCGACCCAACACCGCGACGCGGCAAGCGACAGATCGCAGCTCTTGGTGCTTCTCGTAACCCGCGAGGCCCCATAGTACTCTAAGGTCGCTGGAGATTAAAGTCACCACGCCAGGCGCCTGCGCGGAGGGAACCCACCAGGAAAACTATGAAATCTATGCATTCCGAGGCGCGTCGGAAAGAGGAGCGAAGTGAAGGCGGGAAGGGGTACGGGGGGCGTTGAAAGCATGCGACCTGGAGCAGAGACAGTTGACCAACTACAAGAACGCTGACCAGAAGTCGGAGTCGAATGGAAGTTATGTGCAGCAGCTACGAGAAAAGAGCTGAGACCAGCAGGAACATTCTAACGGCGTATACCGAGGTAACTATATCCGACCTGAAGGTTGGCGCGCAGCGAGGAGAGCATTTTCTCGGACATGGAGTCGCAGATTTCAAGGGTGCGACGCATGATGGCTCCTATCTCGAACGCGAGCATTTCCGTCGGAACCTCCTTCCCCGTTCCCCCCCTCCCATCGACGAGCGGCTCCACCGACGTGTCACCATAGAACGACCGTTTAACGATCTTCTTAAGAGTCGATTCGCCAATCGCTGCAATCGACGGCGATCCGAGTCGAATAGGGGAGTCTGGTCGTTGATCCCCTGCGGCAGAGTCTTTTCCGCTAAGCGGGGACTTATCTCCATTGTTTTCATGATCCCCCTTTCCCCTTCTCTTGAAACTGGTGCTATGGGTAAAGACCCTGTTAATCGTCTGAAGCATGACTGCAAGGGTTACGAGCTGCGAGAATGTATATTAAATCATTTTTGAATAAGTAAGAAAAAGTGAAGGCAATGGCACTTGGCCGTGAGCTTAGCGGCCGTTGTGCGTCTACACTTGAACGACCTAACTGCACAGGAAGGCCACGTAGAACACCTAACAATAGAAACCCTAATGTGGATGATGTGATGAGGCTGGCTGGCCGCCTCGCACAAACTCCCTTTCTTCGTCCTCAATTGCTGCTCTGTGGAGTTCCTCAAGAAATCCTCTCAAGTTTCTCCCGAAACCGACGACCGCTCCCACTGGAGAGTCAGTGTCGAAAGGAAAGAGCGTAATCTCTACCTGGAAGTGGTCGATGTGGGTCGTGTCGTGCTGCGCCGGGCAGTTGGGTGCATGATAACCTTTATTGCAACTGAAAGCAAACCAGAGAGGAGGAACCTTGACTTGGATGTGAGGTGCAGTGAACCAAGTTTCAATCCTGAAAGACCAGTAAAATAAGCCCCAACTTTGTTTCAACGTGCCGAAGCGCAGGGCAGATTTCACCCCTGCCCTGCCACTGCCGAACTTCGTGCTCCCTCCCTGCTTCACCTGGCGCTCGCCCAACGACCTTGACTCCAGCCGTCCAAATATGCTGCTCCCCATCCCAGAGCTCAGCAATATGAGGATGATGAATTCAATAGGAATATTATTGTGCATCTAGTGATAATAATGTACAGACAATAATATGCTCCTTAGTACTAATTCTCAAGAGTACTATGTATGATCTGTCATTTAAAACTGATTTGTGTTTTAAATAATGCAAAATTGATGGATACTCTGGTTACTGGTAGCCTACATATCAAATGGGTATTTGAGATGGCATTGATTAGGTGGAGATAAGATATGCAAGATTGGTCAGTGTGCATTCACTCACACATATCTGCAGTGAGCATTCACTAGATGCACAAACACGAGGATGTAGGGACATTTGCAGTACCATACCCAACCGTTGCAAGAAGTGACAGAAACGCTTTGCCGCGCAGATCATCTTACCGAACCGCAAGTGAAGTCATCAAAACGCCCTTCAGGTGGGGACGAGATGAACGCAGAATGGTGATGCCACTGTCGGCGGCGGGGCGAGACCTTGGGGGTTGCCGCCCAGCTAGAGCCCTGGAAGAACCACAAGAGAGCCGCAGGCCGCATCTCATCACCTAGCTCCCTCACTTTCCTTTCGCCACCGCCATTTTGCCCACTCGTGCCTCTGCTCCACCACATAGTTCACAAGCTTTATCAACTGTACGTTTTTTTAACGACCACAATCCGCCTGATGCATGACTCGATATCCATAGCGTTGTTTTGTCCGAGCTTTGCTCAACTTGCGCGGATGAATCAGGCTGCGTTTTTTGCTCATGTGCAAGAGCGTGATAGATCAGACGTTCTCCTGGCGTGTAGAAACTCAGGGGTGCCTTGGCTTTCACGAGCCAGAAACGCACTTGAACACTTGATGACTTTCGATCAGTTTACAGTTGGGCGTTATTCTTTATACCCGGAGACGCAAGCTTAGAACAGGCAACCTTAGAGATAGCATTTAGTGGTGCTTCCAAGCCACGTCAACGATTACTTATTAGTGGTGATTAAAGGCCGCACTAGTGAACCATAAGTCATCCTTCAATGGATGACACCAACAGAGATAAGTCACCGCTTAAGGCGGTCCGCTGGGGCGAGTCATCGCATTCAGGCTCTAATACTCAGGTGGGACTACAGACGAAACCGCGTAAGGGAAGAAAAAAGTCATCCAGTGGTAGTCTTACGACTTTTGAGTTGCCAGTTACCAGCTGTGGCGAATCAGCTGTGGATCTCGCCGATGCGTTCGCAGTTCATCCACCTCCCGCGTTTCCACCGCAACAGCAGCACAAGGCAGAGCAGCAGCAGGTTCAGTCTAGGGAAGCCGGACGGCACACGCGTAGCGAGGTACCGTTGCGTGATCCGGAGAATCAGGGCGCGAAAGCGACTCGTTCTCCACCCAATAGCGGGGAATTTGCGGTCGTTGGTGCGCTCACAGAGGGGCAGGCGGATGATTCGGGGCAAACTGGCGGCAGCGGCGCAGGAAAACGCGGGAAAAAAGGGCGGAAGAAGAGCCAGAGCGCCGCGTCGCTTCAGCCTTACGAGGCCGCACAGCTGGATGGTTACATGCAGCCAGGCGGTTACATGCAACCTGGCAGTTTCTCGCAACTTCAGGGAGGTTACTTACAACACGGTTACAACGTGCAGCTGCAGCAGCCGTCGGCAACGCAGCAGACCCAGCAGTGGCAAGACGAGTGGACGCTTCTAGCAGACGGAGAGGAAACGGCCGAGCCTGGTTACCAGCCGGCTGTTCCCTTCGCTAGTTCGCAATCCGTAACTGCCGGTCCGCACACGTCAAAGCCTCTGAACCATGGGGTATCTCAGAACGCGCGGCAGCAGAGGGCGTTGGCGGAAGGCGTAGGGGAGTCATGTGATGGTGAGCGGGAGAGAAACGATAGGAACCTTCCGACAGAGAGGCTTCTGATTCAGGCGCCGCCAGGGGAGCTCGTGATGCTTCCGCGGAGCAAATCGGAAGCGGGTAGGGGCGGGGTTGCGCTTAGGAGGGGGAGAGCCCGCGTGGGAGCAGCCGCGATTGGGTCGGTGGGCTCTGAGGCGGAACTCGCGCAAGGGGTGGTACGGCGGGCGTCGCTGGGGGAACCGGAGGCAGAGGAGGGGAGTGATCGGACGGGCGTGGTCGCACAGAAGGCGCGTGCGACGGGTGCGAAGGCACGGAGGCGACAGCCGAGCGAGGATAGCGCCAGCAGCACCAGTGGCTGCAGGGGTAGCAGCGGAAGTTCGGTGGGAGGTATGAGCATGATACACTCTCACCCGCAGCAGCAGCCGCAGCAGCAGCAGCAGCAAGTGCAACAGGAGCAGCAGCCGCAGCAGCAACAGACGAAGCAGCAGAAGCAGCACAGGAGGAGAAAGTCAGGGGGGGATGTGACCGCTGTCGCTGCTGCTGCTGTTGGCGCACAGGCCGGGTTGCCTGCAGGAGGGGAAGGCTTTGCGGGTGGGGGCTATGCCAATGGAGGCCATTCGGGGTTTGCGAATCCAGGAGGCAACGGTTGGGGCGGGGCTGGTGTGGAGGGGGGGCCTGCAGCACTGTATGCGTTCCTGCTGGCTGTCCATCCGCCCCTGATCTCCAAATCCGGCAGACAGGTCGTTCGGGTAAGAGGTTGTTCGCTCTACTCTCGATTTTGAGTCGACTAAAAAGTTGCACTGTATGCGTCCCTACTGGCTGCGCACCCGCCTCTGATCTCCAAATCCAGCAGACAGGTCGTTCGGGTAAGAGACTGTTGGCTGGCCCCTCGACCCTGCAGCTTTTCTCAAAAGCCCCTACTGATTGCGCAGCCACCCCTGATCTTCAGGTCGTTTGGGTAAGGAGCTGTTTGGCTGTCCCTCGCACCTGCAGCTGCCCGTACCTGCCTGCTGCTGCCTGGCCGTATGAACCATAACTCCTCTTCTGGCAGCAGGCTTCTTATTACTCGTCTTCCGTCTCATGATTCCCTCTGTTCTTCCATCTCTTTTTCCGTCCCCACACACGCAGTGCCAGTGGTGCGCCCAGATGCTGGCAGTGCCAGCGCAGCTACAGCCGTCACACGAGGGAAGGCAGAGGCTGCGATGCGGCAAGTGCATGCGCGTGTCCAAGTATGCTGTCACTCTGCCGCCTCCCGACATGCCCGGCCTGCCCCTCCTTATTCCTGTTGAGAGCGCACAAGAGGGGGGTGATGCGCAGGCCCAGGTGCAGCTTCTAGCGCAGCAGCAGTTTCTCCATCAGCAGCAGCAGGCACAGCAGCAGCAACAGGTGCTGCATGAGCTTCAGACACAGCAACTGATGACAGTACAGGTTTCCCAGGGAAAGGAACAGGCGCGGGTAGAAGGGGAGCTTGCTGGGGACGACTATGAGGACGAACGGTGGCGGCAGCCACAGCAGCCGCAGCAGTGGGAAATGCAGCAACAGCAGTTGCAGCAGCAGCCGCCGCAGGTGCCGATGCCAATGCAGGTACAGGCAGTTGGGATGCCAGGGCCGCAATTCACTTCTTCAAGCGCTGCAATTCCACACGCAACCGTTCCAAATGCAGCCGTTGCAGCAGCATCCTTGCCCACAGGCTCGCCAGCCTATCATGGCATGGCGCCACAAGGCATGCAGCCAATGCTGCAGCAAGGGTTCCCACACGGAGGTGGTTTTTCAGGTGCCATGAGTCAACCACAGCAGCTTTCCCAGCAGCAGCAGCAGCAGCAGCAGCAGCAGCAGCAGCAGCAGCAGCAGCAGCAGCCGTTGCAGCAGCAGCAGTTTGGTCATATTCAGGGTGGTGGGGGGTTGGGTCCGATTGGGCAACAGCAGCAACAGCAGCAGCAGCAGCAGCAGCAGCAGCAGCAATGGGCGAATGGTGTGCCCCCTTCAGCTGTGAATGGGGCGGTGCAGCAGTTGAATGGGATGGCCCTATCCAATGTTCGCCCCCAGCAACTGTACACGTTGCAGCATGGACCTATGCTGCCGTATCGCCCGCAGCAGCTGCCACAGCAGCAGCTGCAGCAGTTTCAGCAGCAACAGTTTCAGCAGCAGCAGCAGCAGGGGCAGCAGATTCAGCCACAGTACCAGCAGCAGCCTACGATCATCCAAGTCTCTACTTCCCTCACAAGCGAATCTGGTGTAGGTTTAGCCAAGGGGGGTGAACCTGGTCAGGGGTATGCAGGTGGGGGTTATTACCAGGACCCCCAGTATGTGCCAGTCAGGTCGCAGCAAGACTCTGTGCAACCACTGCTGGTGCAGCAGCAGCCAGGTTTTCAGCAGCAGGCTCGCCCACAGACGCAGACGCAGATGCAGATGCCGCAGCAGTGGCAGCAGCAGCAGCAGTGGCAAGGGGCTGGGCAAGGGACCTTCAGTCAGCATGGCATCGGTCAACTGGTCGCTCAGCAGCAGCAGCAGCAACAGCAGCAGGGGTTGGCAGCTCAGCAATCTCTGCCTCGCAGAGCATCACAGGGGGCAGCAGGCGAAGCCGTGCCTTCAGCCAAGCACGTCCGCAAGTCCAGTGGTGGTTCTGACTCTAGTACCAATGGCGTTTCACCTGCTCTTAGAATGACTGGCGGTGGGGCTGTAGCAGCAGCAGGAGCAGGAGGGGCAGGAGGAGCAGAAGGAGCAGGAGGAGGAGTGATGGTAGCAGCGGCTGCAACAGATGAGAATGGACAGGAGTTGGTTCCGAGAACAGCATCAGGGAAGCGGTTTCAGAGGCAGGCACGAGACATACTGGCAACGAGACGCGTCACTGTGGGCCCGGGCGGCAAGCTGGCCACCGTTCCTTCCTTCCGTGCCACTCCTCAGTCACAGGGTGGGGCAGCAGGAGGAGGGGCGGTGGCAGGAGATGGTGCTGGTAACGGGGGAGGGGACGTGGAGCTTCGGCGAACAGCAACAGAGAGGAAGGGAGCGAAAGGGGTAGAGGGAGGGGGAGTAGTGGTGCTGATGCCACGGAGTAGGACGATGAGTGTGGGTGGGGATGCGCAGTACCGGAGAAAGGTGGTGGTGAATGGGGTGCCTGTGCCGGACCAGAGGGTGCTTGTTGCGGAGCAGAGGATTGGGAAGATCGAGCCTGGGAATTACTGGTGAGAAGATGCTGTTCTTGCTATTTTGTGTCATGAAGTTAGGCTCCTATAGTTTCCTATCACTATGGTTCATGATTCTATGGTTTATGGGACATTCTGAGCACCAGTCGGTTGTGCATGAATGTTTTTGCCTCTGTGGTTGCAGGTATGACTGCAGAGCTGGATTCTGGGGGCCTGTTGGGAGTGCGTCCTTGGGCGTCATTCCAGTGAGCAATGCTTTTTCTAAGTTCATGCAATATGCATCTGTTGTCTTGCTGTGTCACTCACTAGTTCTTTCCTCTCATTTGATGTCAGGCTTTCATGCGCGAGCTAGGCAATGCGCCGATGTCCATGGATTGTTCGGGCGGCAAGAGCAAGATTCTGGTGAATGGACGAGAGCTGCACCGGAAGGATGTCAAGACGCTGGCAGAGAAGGGTTTCCCTGAGACATTGGGAGGCCGGTACACGCTGGATGCGGATGGCACTCTGGTCAATGAGTTTGGACGAGTGGCGGCTAACCTTGGGAGCCTGTAAGTTTGCAGCTTTGGTTGGGTGACACTTTTATTTTTTAATTTGTTTTGGCAGAAGATGAGCTTATGAATTGCTCCTCTGTGTGCAGGCTGGAGGATGACAAGAAGGATGGCTTATTTATGAAACCTGGGTCAGAGATCAAGGTCAAGCAGAAGAAATAAACACTACTAACGTTTGTCAAGTATACAGTGAAGGCCTTGGTACAGAATTTCACGTTGCTTCATTGGTGTTGCCGTGGCATTCCATTCCCCCGATGTCGGTCGACGTTTCTTCGCATCTGTAACGGCTTTCACCAAATCGTCGCAGGCCTATTGCAGAATTCCGTTTCGCTGACGAACAGCGGATTTCGAGTCCTCCTGGCTGATGACGAACCTCGAAATTTCCCAGGTTCTGCGCCAAGTCACAACTTTCATTTTGGCTCGGTTTACTTCTGTCAGGGATTGTGGGTCCTGCCGAGCCTCGCAGGACCTTGGCCCGGCCTACGCTTTTGTGTGCGACAAAGCGAACAGCGCCCACTGGCTCGGCATGATCAGGAAGATTTGACAGCAGCAGTACAGCACCAGCAGCAGAGCAGCAGCAGCACTCCCTCCAGTGACCTCCATTCTCCTCTTTCTCGTTTTCACCAACCATTTTCATCTCTTCCAGTGCACTCGGATCTTTTGAAGGAGTGATCTGCAGCAGAATGTTGTGGTGGATCGTCATTGTCACCGCGAAAGCTGCTGGCGTATTCCCGATTTGACTAGTTTTTGCGTCGGGGTGGTACGCCGTAATGACACATTCGTAGGTACCTAAAGGCCACGCGTGTCTGTTCTTAGGTCGTCGACGCGTTGCATTCTTTCCACGCGATTGTAAAAAGGCTCATCAACGATAAGCGCGTACTCATTTGAAATGGGAACACGGAAGCTCGCGCGCCTCGATCCGTAACATCTAGGGATTAATGTGTCTTTCCCTCCTTCCCTTAACGTAGACCTTTTCTTATTGCATAATGGCTAGCCTCCAACCACCAGGTAGGAAGATACGACCTCAGCAAGATCCTTACATTTCTGGTAATGGCTATCACCCCGATGGACACCCACACAGACAATCAACCCCGCAGGGAATGCATTCCGTATCCACCCAACAGCAATCCCCGATGCCTAACTCCAACTCCGCCTTCCCTCCACGAGCCGGAAGTCTATCTAACACCCACATGACGCCACCCGACGCCTGGGACGGCCGTCAAACTTCCGACCAAAATCACATCCCACAAAACCAAGCTTTTCAGCAGGGGATGCAAGTGGGAGCCCAGCAGCACGGCATGCAGCACGGGGTGCACGAGACACCCGCTCAGGGCCAGCGGGGATCCATGCACGTAGATCCGAACACCAGCCTCGCGGCTCAGCGAGTGCTAGCTGCGCACAAGGCGAAGCACCTGCACGTGGAGGTCGATTCTCCATCTGGCGTCTCCTCGCACGGGGGAAAATCAGGCGGGGCTATTGTGACTGGAGAGGGTCCGGAGTTCCGCGAGCCGGCGCAACAGCAGCAGCAGCTTCCGCCGATTCAGGCTCAGGCGCAGGCGTCTCCAGGCGAAGGGGTTGCCGTTCCGCAGCCGCTACTGTCAAAGTCAGGCCGGCCTGTTGTGCGGGTAAGTTATCCAACGCTCCTGTTTAGGCAGCCAGATGAATCAGCTACCGTTCTTTGCATCCTTTCCCTTTTCCTTTCTTCGCTGTCCTCGCGTTGCCTACATCGTTTTCCCCGCATGTTTCCTAATTCCAATTTCGTCCCATCGCAGTGCCAGTGGTGCTCCCAGATGCTCGCCGTCCCGCCGAAACTGGAGCCGAGAGACGGAGTTCAGAAGCTGCGTTGCGGAAAGTGCCTCAAGATCTCCAAATTCTCGGTCTTCGTCCCTCCAGCTGGCGGCGTTCCCGTGCTCATGCCCCTTTCCGCCTCCGGCCCTCTCCCCGGTCCGCCCTCGGTAGCTGTTTCGCGTGGGGGAGCCCAAAGCCAGCAACCCCAGCCTGTGCAGCCGCAGCCGCAGCCGCAGCAGCAGCAGCAAGGGCCGTCAGTGCCTGAGGAAACGTGGCTGCAGCAGCCGCTGCAAGGTGTAGCCCCGGTGCAGGCGTACCAGCAACAGCCGCAGTTCCAACAGCCGCAGGGCATGGGTCCCGTGCAGCCGCAGCAGGCGCGGCTGCCTTCGCCGCAGCTCATGCAACAGCAGCAGCAGCAGCAGCAGCAGCAGCAGCAGCATGCAGCACTGCAGGGTTATGGGCAGGGTGCGCAGGGGCTGGTGCAGCAGATGGGCGGGTTGAGCATGGGTGAGTCGTTCAGTCAACAGCCGTACGCGATGGCCCCTCAGATGCCACAAGGGATGAGTCCGCAGGGAGGGATGCAGCAGGGCATGGGGCAGCAAGGCATGGGCCAGCAGGGGATGGGGCAGGTGTATCAGCAGCAGGCTCATGCACCTGGGCATATGCAGGCTCATCCACAACAGCAGCAGGCGGTACCTCAATTCCAGCAACAGATGGTTGGGGGAGCGCAGCAGCAGTATGCCAACTTCACACAGCCAGGCATGGCCGGGCCTGGAGGGTTCATGCCACAGCAGCAACAGCAACAGCAGCAGCAGCTACAGCACCCTCACCAGCAGCAGCAACACATGCAATTCCAGCAGATGCAAAATCAGCCTATTCAGCAGCAGATGCAGCAGCAGATGATGCAGCAAGGGCCGGGCCAGCAGATGGGTCATCTCACACCCCAACATGCCTCTCAATCCCCTGTGCAAGCCTCAGGCTTCGCAGCTAGCCCCCTATCCCAGAACCTCTCACCATCCATGCCCATGTACCATCAAAACGCAGGCCCTCCTCAGCAACAGCCGCTCCACCCATACCAGCAGCAGAGCCCCATGCAGGGTCGCACTCACATGGGCAAGGTAGCATACGGGCATCAAGCACCCAGACCTCCTCTATCCGGGGGGAGCATAGGGGGGCACCTGGAGAGCGAGGAGGGCCTGCCAAGGCAAGGGTCAGGGAAACGGTTCCCCAAGCAGCCGCCACAGGCCCCCATGGACCCACAAGCTGCCACCAGACGGTACCTCACAGGCCCAGGGAAGTCCCTAGCGCCTTCTATCGGCTTTAGAAGCGCGTCTCTCAATGAACACCAGATGCAGCAGCAGCAGCACGGGGGTGCGGGGATGAGGCCGCCTGCGGACCTGCCCTTCAGGCGCACTGCCACGGAGTACAGTGGGCCGCCCGGGCGGGCAGATGCGATGACGGTGGCGCCTAGAAGCTCAACGCTGGGCGGCGAGGGGCAGTACCGGCGCAAGGTGTATATGAACGGGCAGCCTGTGCCTGACAAGCTTGTGTTCCTGGCTGAGAGGCGGATTGGAACGATTGAGCCAGGCAGCTACTGGTATGTTGTGCACTGCTTTCTTTATAACAGGACGGGCGTCTGTTGTGTGCTGAGTCTAGGGTAAAACACGCTTCTTGTGGTTTTGCTGTTTGCGAGCCTAATGGAGGACTGACGTGTGTTCGTGCATTGCCTTGTCATTCCTTTCACCCGATCTTGTTTTTCTCCACCTTTTATTTTTCTCTTCATGCCACGTTCCAGGTACGACTGCCGAGCTGGATTTTGGGGCCCTGTGGGAGGGCCAGCATTCGGAGTTACTCCGGTGAGTTGCTGCTTGGCGTCTAAACAGGCAAGTGAGAGTCGCACGCAAATCTAAGGTGAAAGGTAGCCAAAACTGCAAATTCACACAAGAACGTAATTATAGTTCCCTGAAAATATATAAATTGACCTTGGTAGAAAAAACAAGGCTGAACAGAGGTTGAATCACCGTAACAGGGCTGAAATCTGAGGGTCTGCGTGTGGAGAGGTAAGGGCCTGTAAGTGGGTGGGTGGTTGAAAAGGGGATGTGCCACAGCAGCAGCAGAATGTCACTACCTCATTCTGGGCTACTTTGCAGTGCTATTTTCTGACGCGATGCCCAAATGTCGCTCCTTTTCTCCCTCCTGACTGCTTGTTCCCCAACAGGCGTTTATGAGGGAGTTCGGCATGCAGCCGATGCAGAGTGAATGCTCCGGAGGCAAGACTAAGGTGTTTGTGAATGGGAGAGAGCTGCACAAGAAGGACCTTGTTACTTTAATGAAGAGAGGATTCCCGGACACTGCTGGTGCTCGGTACACTCTGGATGCTGATGGCACAGTCTGCAATGAGGCAGGCCGACACCTCTTCGCCATGGGAAAACTGTAAGTGAAGCTCTATTGTCAAGCCATAGTAGTTTGAGAGGTCTGTCAATGTGTACAGCTTGCTAAATTTAGCGTAGACAGTGAGATGCCTGGGTCCTGACCCCTTTCATGCCCCATCGTGCTTTTGTTTGTGCTTCTGTCAGGATGGTGGACAAGAAGAAGGGTATGTACATGGTGAAACCCCAATAACGAAGTAAATCATGAGATAAATCACTTACCTAATTGCAGTGGGTGCTTGTTTCAGTCATGGTGCTGATGAACCTGTGTTCATAGCAGCTGGCACAGCTGGTGCTCTTGCAACTTGACATTACCTGACTTATTTGAATCCACCAGCCAGGAAGTGACAATCTGCTATATGTGAATAGCAGGCAGACTACTGGCTTAGAGTGCATAAGATGATAACTGCGGGGTGTTTACTGATATGCCCCACATCCATAACGAAGTTCTCGTATCGAGTCTTCATCGAACAGCTCCAAATCGTCATGTGCTCCCAAGATTCCCGGAACCTGACAAACACATCGGACAGGGGGGACCAACCAGCGGGCTTCTCCGCTTCTTGGACGACGACCAGCTAGCCGTCAAGGCTGCTGCTCTGGACACGAGAGCAAGTATTTTTGCCCGTTTTCGTGCCTCTGATGTCTTCAGTTCCTCCCTACCCTATATCCTCCTACATTACGTTCAGGCCCGCGAAGAACCGCTTAGTACGTGTATATTCCTGTCTGATATTCTGTAGAATCAGTGAATGTGCGCTCGCTGTCTCCGAAACGTCGCTCGATCTTAGGAAGTGGCATTGGCAGGTTTTTCAGATGAGCTTGGTCGGTGCTTGTTAACTGGGGATCACTCTCCGATCCAGCCATTAACTGTAGTCATGGCGACCAGATTAGCTTCTCTTGTTCTTCGTGCAAGAAAGCAGGTGTGTATTAGGGGCACGTAGCATTCGCGATCAGGCTGCACAACTTACTAATCCAGGATATCATCGTGATTCTCGCAGGACTGGCTAAGACCTGGGACGTCCAGATATGCTTGGCTTCTAGAGAGACAGTTAACTACGGCTCCGTTAGGTATGCTGCGACTTTTGCGCTGCAAAGTCTTGGTCAGATTAAGATACTGATTTTAGTGAAGTATTGTGCAGGGACCAAAGACGACGAAGCTACCAGAATCCCTCCTCTTAGTGCTTCACAGGTTAGCTTTGCTGCGATGTGAATGTGGGTTGAAGTCTCAGTAAAGAATCCAACTTTGACCGCGCCGTGCTGCTCGTTTTCAGGAACCGGCTAGTTCTAAGCCATCTGCGGGATCAAAACCGAAGCTTCGGCCTCTGATGCCAAAAGCAGACGGCAGCCTACCAGAGTCCGTCAAAGTCGCTGCTAAGGCCTGCGGGGTGCAAAATCCGACAGTGAAACGAGTAGCAGAGGGCGTGACATCTACTACACCCACAAGAGTTTTTGAAGTACCTGAGCTGATCGAAAATGACAAAGTCCTCCCAGACATGTCGCCAGGGGTGGTGCCCAAGGGTTATATCGATCCGGTTATCCCTGAAGTCTGGGGTCGGGTCCATTCCATCGAGTCCTTTTCAGCAGTGGACGGACCTGCCATTAGATCCGTGGTCTTCGTGCAGGTGAGCAACTAACCGCCTTATTATTATTGTTCATGTTCTGCATGTTATCTCGCAAACGAGAACCGGTGTAACTCACTTTGTTGCATGGAAACAGGGATGTCTAAGGCGCTGTGTGTTCTGTGCCAACCCAGATACATGGAGGTGAGTATCTTGTGCTCTTCGCTGCCTGCTCGTTGCCGCTGTAGAGCGTCCTCATGCTGTAAGCCGTCCGTCGCTTTCCAATTGCAGTGTGACAGCCAAGTCCCAACGGTTATCATCCAAAGACATTGCTGCACGGTTGAAGAAAAACTTGTCGTACTATAAAGGCGGTGGTGGGGTGACTATTTCAGGAGGGGAGCCAATGATGCAGCCTCACTTCTGCAGTGCTGTTTTCAAGGAGGCCCACCGACTAGGAATCACTACAGCACTCGACACAGCAGGTAACTTCGTGGTGCAGTATGGTCGAGCTTGTTTAGCCAGTTTTCACTCTTCCCTTCTTAGTGATGGCATGAGTCGCTGATGCTCCCTCAATTGAACTCCTCGTTCTGCCCAATGCAGGATATGGCAGAGCCAAAGACTGGGCTGAAGTTCTTCCACACACTGACACTGTTCTCCTGTGCACCAAGGCAGTGAACCCAAAGCTCTACTTTGACATGGTGCTTTAGATTGGTTTAGATTAGACTTGATGCTTTAGATTACAGTAGTTGAGTAGACTCTGTAAAATATGGTATTAAGATAGTCTCTCGCAATGTACCAGATGCACTAGTGTAATCATGCCAGATTGTTTTTCGTGTTCCACCTAGCGCTACGCTGATGCATCTCCAGCCACAAATTTTCTTCCTGAGGTGGATGTTGTGTTCAGCTGACGCGAGGGGCCTTCTCAACGAACATATGCACGTCAGCAGCGTCGTTTTGCCAAATTGCAACAAAAAAAACTGCCCAAGTCTTTCTTCTGTCCAGTGTTCACAGTAACAGCATATACATTTCTGTCCAAAATGTCATCAGAATCCGTCATACACTGATAACGTTTCCTCGGTCTTCTACGATCGACATAATCGAAACTTCTGTTTCAGGATACAGACCCGCCCCTTCCCTTCCCTCCCTCGAAATTATCACCTTGAGATCATCCAGCAAGTATGATTTTGCTGAAATGGCCCGAGTGAAGTGTTGCAGAAAGCAGTTTTTCATTCACCTTGGCCACCAGCAGCAACACACGGCCTTCTGTAAGACGTAATAGGTGTCTATGAAACGCCAAGAGACCACAGAACAGGCAAAGCCGCTCTGACTGCACAAACATATTGTCCTTCCGTCCTGATCTCCAGCTGAAACCAGGGGCTTGACACATTTTCCCGCCATGCCTGTGCTGTCAATTGCTGTTCTTGTTGCTGCTGTTCCTCCATCGCCTTGTGTTTCAGCTCTCGGCGGCACCAATGTGTCTCCCGAATTACAAATAAACTCCGGACAGATAGACCACCGCGGACCGCGACCATGTAGGCGTCAGGTCGAGTCAGCCGCGCTCTCGCGGCACGATCCGCTTCTGGCTCCAGCTCGTGCCTCCCACGTACTGCGAGCGGTAGTCAACGCGGACCGCGAAGCAGCAGCGACAGCTGGTCAGATAGAGCAAGTACCAACCAGCAGCGAGCGAGCGGAGAAGGCTGACCAGATAGCTGTGTCTGTCCCTTCGCCTGACAATGCCGTCATACCGTCAACTCATCGCAAATTTGAAGTTGTTCGCGTGACGGAGGATCCACAACTCTGGGTATGGCTGCTTATAACGGTAGAGGCGCGGCTCGTCGTAGCATTCTGCTTCCACATTTTGCTGGTGCTACTTAATCTGACCATGCTCACTTTCCCATCGTTTACTCTGATGCTGCCAGGCAGCAGCGGCGCTTCGAGCAGATGCTTTATGTGAAACGGAACCGTATGTGAGGTGAGAGAAGGCGTGCTCTGTGTGTATGTTTGACGGGGCTTCACCCAGAACATGAAACATGAAGCTTGGGTGGTGATGCCATCACTCGTCCGTCGTGCGAAACGTGAAGGCGCGTGTCATTGCCTGAGCTGCTCGTTTAAAGGGTTAATAGCAGCTTCTAACTCCGTTTGCTCCTGACTGTGCTAAATGTCACAAGGATTAGTTTGCCTAGTGTTCGCATCCTTGAATTCTTAGCAAGGATTTCTGCCACATTCTTCCTGACATTGTTCCTCACATTGTTCCTCACATTGTTTACACACAGGTTCGTGGACAGCTTCAAAAAACGATTCACTGAACAGGTACGATGTAGAAGATTGAATAGCGTCGCAGTCCAAATTTCAGTCGGAAGAAACGCAACGGTTTTCAACTCCATGAAGCTTATACTTGCTGCACCATATGACTCATCTCTTCCTTTCTCTGATGCTCGATCCCTGTCTTCGCCCATTCTTGCTCATTCTGTCTCTTTCTGTCTCTCGCCTACCAGGAATTCCACTCGATGAAACGACGCATCAACGGGACCACGGGTCAATCCATCCGCTGCGTCTGCCTTGCTGCTATGCAGGCTCAACCAGACGACAGCGACAAACAGCCGTTCACCATTCACACGAATGGCTCCTTAATACGGCTTGTTGAATTAGCACAACCAGACAAAGAAGTTGCAGCTCTGGAGCACAGGTTGGAGGACGCAGGAGCCGAGGGGGAGACTGTCAGTGTGCCAAATGGAAGGCAGGGAGCAGGTGTAGCAGCTGGAAATGCAGCAGGAGGGGTTGCAGCCAAAGGGGTTAAAGCGAGGCAGAAAATAACAGAGCTGGAGAGAGTTGTGGGTACTCTTGACATCAGCCTAAGACGATTGGGGTCTAATGAAATCTTTCCAGGGGTGAGCAACATATTTCAAAACCGTCTGAACTAGTATCCCGCAGTACCTGAAAGCCATCACATGAGCATGCGTCCCTGATATGTCATCCCTTCATGCCCCGATGGTGCACACCTTGAACTCAGCTCAGCTATTGCTTGCTGCTCTTCCTTGCCCTCTTGCTTGCAGGTCGAGCTTCCTCGCGAGTCCTCCAGCTTCTTGGTACCCCTGCCTTCCTCCGCCCTCACTGCTCTCTCCACTACAGCCAACGGCCTGCAAGCTGCTGTGAGCGACATCCAGTCAGCTGTGAATGACATTGGGACGGCTGCTAACAGCATTCAGTCAGCGGTCAATGGCATTGGGTCAGCTGTAAATGGTATTGGGTCGGCTGTGAACGGCATCCAAGCTGAAATTCGCCGGTACCCGTCCAGCCTGCCTGCCTCTGCCTCCTCTCTCCTCAACAACGCCATCTCTGACCTCCAGGTAAATTTGCTATCCCACATTGGGATTTACATCCAACTCACATACCTGGATGGATAAACGAATTTGACGCTTCCCCCATTCGGTTCCACTTTCCCATCTTGATGTGTGACCTGCACTCTTGTACAGTGATAGTTGAGATGCACTAATTGTCATGTTCTGCTGGCCTGTGCAGGATGCATGGCAGGCAGTGGCGCAGGAGAGTGACGAGAGAGCTTGTCAGTTGAATGGCTTAGTGGTAGCTGAAGCCACGCTTCCGCAGCAAAATGAGAAGAGTCGGCCACAGCAGGCAGTCCAGCAGAACCAGCCAAGTGCAACAACGGAGCAGCAATTACAAGAGCAAAAACAAGAAGCTCCAATGGCAGGGCAGCAACTACAAAAGCAGATACAGCAGCAGCAGCAGCATGAACCTTCAGGGCAAGTGGCGTTGGAGCGACCATACTATGCGTACATATCAAATGTGTGCGTATCAAACAAATTCAGGCGTCAAGGGATTGCTGCAGCTCTCATGCGTGCTGCAGCTGACGTTGCAGCAGAATGGGGTGAGTTACAAAAGGGTGCGATGGGTTAAGTGCAGGCCTTTTTTTTTTTTCCATGCTTGGCTCCTGTTCATGCACTCAACACTCCCTCTCCTTCCATATGTATGTGTGTGGCCTGCGTTTGTATTTCCGTGTTTATGAGCGTGCCCTTCAGGTGCTGAAGAGGTATATGTCCATGTGCATGCATCCAACACAGCAGCACATCATCTGTACCACCAGCTGGGCTATCTAGTAGGTCTATTTGCCAATAATGCCCACATCACCCGTTACTCATTCACGTCATGTAATCGTCACAGTCCACATAATCCATTAAACCATACTACCGTCATCGCCCGGATATAAGACATATATGTCTTATCTCGTACACGGGCAAGAATGCTTGAGTTATCTTGTAAACGGGATGGTTTATCTTATAATGAGGCTAGCCTGTTTATAAGAGACACCCGTATAGTAGACAACCCCTGTCTACTATTCAACACTGTCTTATATCCGGGTGATGACGGTAACTTGTGTCCGTCCAACAACCTGTCTCTTCATTCCTGTAACCCGTTATCCATTCCACTTGTTTCCCCACTCACAGCTTCTTGAGACCCCAGCAGCACCCAGTGCCCACATCTTCCCTGTGTGGAAGCCATCCGAAAACCATGTTTCGCTTGATGATACTCTGCTGCTGCGGCTAGCGCTCAATGAAGCAAAGCTGCAAAGATGACATGCGAAAACACTGTGAAGCTCGAGTCATCACTGCCGCACAACTACTTTTCATTATTTAGTTGTTCCTTGCCTGTTTTTTTCAGGGAAGCACTCTTGGTGCATTTCGCGATTTCAGATAGAATTAAATTCATTTGTTACGCAGTAGGCTCAGGAAGAAGTCTGACAGCAATTCTTCATACCCATGCAACTTGGCAAAGCCTGGAAAGTAGTTGACGTCTATAATGAAGAACCTGTTGGGGCATGCAACAGACCTCACAATGTCGACATTGAAAAGTCTCAACCCCAGCTGCTCCCGCAAGTGTTCCCCCAAAGCATCCGCCACTCCATCTGGCAGAGGGCCAGGCCCAGGCCAAAGGTAATCTGTACCCATGTTCAAGCTGCTGTCTGTGCTGCTGCCAGCGTTGGGAAGGTGAGTTGGCTGAGGTACAGGAGCATTTGATACCTGGGAGAATGGTAGATAACCAGGAGAAACATCTGCTTGGCATTGGGAAGGGACTACATCGGGAAGAGATGGGCGAACCTCACATCGCACGGACGAGCCAACGACATAGAGCTTTGTGAGTTGGCTGCCGTGGTTTATGAATTGCTGCAGGACGATAGAGGGCTCCTTGCAGGCTGCATGCTTATGAGCAGGTACGGAGGCAACAGCCGGGATACAAGCACCCATATGGTATCAGCACCGAGAGCGACGGCAGCAGCAGCAGCAGATGCTGGGGAGGTAGTGGTCGGAACGGCAGCAAGGGAATGAGCAAGAGCCATGAGGCCGTGAGTGTTGAAGACAAGAGAGAGGGAATGAGACGCAGTGCTGCCATTGGCTTCCACAGGCTTGGCCACCAGAGGAAAAGATAGACCTTGACTCTGTAAAACGTCTTGCAAAGTCGAGGAGCCACTAGGGCCTTCTTGGGAATCTCCTGCTAGCCGCCTTAGCTCACTCAGAGTAAGCACCATCTGCTGAGGCACACATACGAAAAAACCAGGCACTATCTCCCATTTCCGGCCCTCTCCTTCCCCTTCCCCATTTCGCCAACCTCCCGTCACTTCCATTCCCACTGCTGCCTTCTCTTCTCCTGCCAGCTTCGAGATTTCAGTGGCCTGACACGTGTCAGCACCAGGAAGCAGGCCTTGAAGCATAGAAGCGCGGTTGCACACGCGAGCGATTCTCTCCGGCGGGTCCACAATTCGCCCAGCGAAGGTGGGAAATTGTTCCGCTAAGATCCGCAGCTGATCGGCCCATTCCGCCGTGAGCACCTTATGCACGACCGCATCAAACGGCGGTTTTTGCGGGACATCTGTGGCGTGCTCGTTTTCCTCGCTACTACTCCGGTACTCCAGAAGGCTTCGGGAAGGGTCAACGGGGAAGACTTCGATGCCCTTCGCGAAACATGCGGCGATCAGCGAAGGCGTCAGGAAGGATCGCACCTTCTTCGGCGCGAAAGCGCATGCGATGCGGTACCGCGGCGGCGATGAATGGACGGAATCGCTTGTGGGGACGCGAATGGGTAGAGTGTCCATTACACCAACAGCTGGAAGGCATTGGCGGAATTGATGGATTGCTGCAAAATTGATCTGTGAACGTGAGGTTGTGCAAAATTGGCTGTAGTTCAACAACGCCAAGCACACGGCTGTTGTCATTCGTAGGGCTTTGTTTTTGGGCGTAGTAAGAAAACGAATGTAAACGTGCAGCAGTGTACGCGATTGTAGCTCTGAGGTAAATCTTTACCGTGGATACAAACATTTGTGTTTAAATCGACGGCTGGCAACGACTCCCGCGTTTATTGTCTGTGCTGCAGTTTCCGTGCAACGCCCACGAAAAATACCCAGCTCTGATCGTCCGCTCTCGGCTGCTTTATGCATGCACGAAATTTGGCTTTCTGTCATCCAAGCTTCCCGTAATTCTGTGACAGCTTCTGGCTCTACTCTAGCTTTCTGATCTTCGCTTGCTTGCATCTTGTTCTTGCGTTTTTTTGTCGCCGCGCCTTCCATGGCGGATATATTTGAGGAGGAGGAGGAGGCGATGACGGCCGACGAGTACGAAGAGAGAGTCGAGGTGCGTGTCTCATTTTTCTTTCACTAGCTCTGCTTCACATAGTAGCAGCCTGGTTCTGGTTCTTGTAGTAGACTAGTACAAATCCACAGTTTCGTGTGATCCATTAACCCATGTTGGACGCACGGCGCATAATTGTTTTGCCTGCTACAGGAAGCGTTCGCGGTGCTCGGTGCGGATGATCCCGACAAGTGCACATACGACATGGGCTACCGTAAGCGCCAGGCTCTCTATTCCTGCCTTACGTGCGTGCCTCCGCCCAAAATTCCAACTCCGTCCGATGAAACTGAAGAAAGCGGTGGAGGAAGCAGTCGTGAGGACCCACGAGGCATATTGTCTGATGACTGGAAGCCGGCAGGAATTTGCACTTCATGCTCACTGAAGTGTCATGATGGCCATGAGGTAAACATTGTTCCATCACGTCTATTCCGCACCTTTTGCTCTCCAGACAGCACTTTTTCTACAGGTCCGTCCCTCACACATACATCTCATTTCTTGCCGATTCCTCCCATTCGTTAGCTTGTGGAGCTCTATACGAAGCGCCGGTTCCGGTGTGACTGTGGCACATCCAGGTTTCAAGGGTCGGTTGTTCCTTTATGCCAGCTGAAACCTGAGAAAGATATTTTGAACGAGCGCAACGAGTACAACCAGAATTATGCGGGTGTATATTGCAACTGTCGAAGGCCGTATCCTGATCCAGAGGCCGAGGCCGAAGGAGAAGAAACGGAAATGATACAATGTGTTGTGTGCGAAGATTGGTTCCATGAGCATCATCTGGGTCTTGAGCCCGGGTTTGAGGTATGCTCAGAAACCTGCTGTTTTTTTTGGAATGTGCAGCATATTGAATCCAACTTCTGCCTTTTTGCAGGCCCCTGAGGAATTCTCGAACTTGATATGTGACCACTGCGCCTCCTTGAAGTGCCGTTTCTTGAAGTTGTATCATCAGCTGTTGCTAGCTCCAGAACGGGCTGGTGACGTTTCGTCATGTGGGAATGAAAACAAAATTAAAGTGGTGAGCAAAGAGGAAGCGGATGCCAATGGGGACGAAGCAAGTATCGAGGGTCCAGGCATCAAAGTATGCGATGATGCAGTAGCCGCTCGTGGACATCATGCTGCGGAGGATGTGGATGCTGTCAAACCTCAGCACTCTTGCTCATCTCATGAAGGCGCTCTTGATGTACGTCCTGGTCCGGGAACAACGGTCGCAGACAGTGAAGCAGACTGCAAGCTAGCCTCTGTTTTGAAGGGGCAATCTCTAAGCTCTTTTCTCAAAAAGAAAACTGCGGGTGATACAACAAGCACAGCGAAGGCTGAACACTTGCCAACGGGTTTAAATGTCACTGATAGTTCAGTAGAGGCCACTAGTGCAAATGCAGACGCCGACGCCCTTGCAGGCTCACATGATTCGGAAGTTGGCCCTCTTTTTCTCACAAATGGGTGGAGGGCCTTCATCTGCAAGTGTCAAGAATGCACCAGGTGTGGCTTTGATCAGGCGTTCTACTATTAATTTATTTTCATGTCTATGGCCTCTCACGTTTCATGTTGCTGCTCTTTTCAGGTTCTACGAGGAGCAAGGGGTGGACTTCCTAGTTGATGTCGAGGATACTGTCGAATTTTATGAGGAAGAAGCGAAGAAGAAACGGCAACAAAAGGAGGAGGAAGCTAGTGTACAGGTTGAAGCTCAGTTTCAGAGCATGGACCGTGTTGCTCAGTTGGAGATAATTCATGGCCTGAACAGCTTCAAGTCCGATTTTCAGGAGTTTTTGGTAAGTCTGAACACCAGAATGCCATTAGAGCTGAGCCTTTTCTTCTCTGGCAAGGTCTGTCAGCAGTTCGAAGCCACTTGTTCCCATTACACCGCCCTCCAACCCCCCCCCTTCCTCTTCCGTTCTTCCCTTAGCCCCAATTCCTTTCCTCTCTCCCCTCCCTTCCCCTCAACTCCCTCCCTCCCCTCCCTTCCCCTTCCCTCCGTCCCGCCCCCTGCCCCCCTCCTCTTTCGACCTCGTTATTTTTTCCTTGCAGGCAAAATTCGCAGGTACTGACCATGTGATTACTGCTCAAGATGTCAAGCAATTTTCTGAGGAGCAGAAAGCGAAGCGCGTGCGTCGTTCGTGAGGCTATTGTACATAAGGCTGTTCTAATAAGAAGCCACTTCTCCTAACATGCTCTTGTTCACCCACATGCACGTTAGAGGAGTGGATGTTAGCATGTGATACACTGGCTTAGGGAATGGATGTTAGCATGTGATGTGATACACTGGCTTAGGGAATGGATGTTAGCATGTGATACACTGGCTTAGAAACTTCAATTGTGACACGACTTTCAAAGGGTTTAGGGTTTAGGGTTTAGATGTGGTATACTTGAGATGTGAAATGCAGTGCAGTCGTCATAGCATTTCACATCTCAAGTATACAGCACACTCGATAATATGGAATACATATGGTGTTCTAAACGGGAACAAGATACGCACAAGCGATCCAGTGTATAAGGGAGAGGCGGGTGGGAACTAGAGAAGTGAAAACTGCAAATGAGACTAGGTGGTAGGTCCCGAGGACCTGCCGAAAGGTAAAGGAGAATGTCTCCTTTACAGCAAACCCCTCTTCAAATCGAACCACAATCTGTAAATTTTTTTGTTACAAAAAAATTCTCATATTGTGACACGACTTTCAGAGGAGTGTGCAGTGCAGTCGTCATAGGTCGAACGAGACATCAGGGGAGAGGTCGGCGGCGACCCCTCTCGAATGTGGTCAAGTACCGATCGGTCAGGCTAGATCGGAGAGGGTCCTGTAGTACGCGAGAGGCATCGACAAGCTCGCGATCGAGTTGTGTAATATATAGCTCCTTAGCCCTATCACTACGCCACCGACCAAGGGCTTTGAAGAGTCTGTCCGGCACTCCGACGTCGACAGCTACAGTTGCCGCCGATTTACGGAAGGAATGAGTGCCGAGGAGATCCGGGTTAAGGCCGACGCGGGCAAAGCCATCGCGGCACCAGCCCCGCACGGTAGCATACGAAGGGGAACGGTCGGAAGGGGAAGCCCCGGCACCCGGTTGGAACACGCGGATAAGAGGGCCGGTAGAATCTTGAGAGTAGCCCGCGAGGAAAAGAAACTGTTGGACACGAGAGACAGGGCAGTGGCGGGCAGAGGATGCTGCCACTGGGACCCAAGCACCTCTGCCGGCTTGGTCCGTCTTGGAGCGAGGAATAAATAGCCACATGCAGTCCCTGTCAAACTCGATCTGATGCCACTGGAGGGAAATCAGGTCAAAGAAGCGTAAGAAGGCCGAAAACATGAGAAGAGGGATCAGCCCCCGCTGGAATGTGGCCGGGTCGGATGACGAAAAATATATGTCGCAGATATCGTAGATTTTTTCTGGGGGTACAGGCTCTTTAGCCTTAGATGGTCGTCCGCAATGACGTTGTGCATACTCTTTCACTTGGCTAGAGAGTGGCCCGCGAACAGGAGACGGTTCGCCAACGAGCCAATGGGCGCACGAAATGGCGGAACATGTCGAACGGATAGCCGAAATAGGGGCGCCATTGCGGATCGAGTGCAGTAGGAATAACGCCGCGGTCAAATCACTTGAAGGAAGTAAAGGAAGAGCGTGCATGGTACAAAACGCGCGATATTGCCGCCAATATGGCTCGTACGTGCGAATTGTAGACTGAGCACGGAGATCGACGGTGAGCGTCAAGAGGTCCAAGAGCAGGGGGGCGAGCTGGTGACCTGCGTAACGAAAAGCATTAATTATTAGTGAATATTATTCGAAGGGCGTACATAGGAGAGTTAGGAAGTCCAGCCCCACTAAATGCCCAAGGATCACTTCCAACACACAAACAGTCGGAACCAGAGGCAAGACTAAGGGTTGCGGTGATATCACTAGCCCAACGGTCTGGGTGTAGAAGAGGCCACCAAAAGGCACTAGGCCAGCGAGGGATCACTAGGGTGAGGGAGGTTCTTGAGCGGCGAGCGTGGGCGAGAACGGCGGGAATAAGGGGTGGTGGTGGAAACGCGTAACAATTTTCCCCCAACCAACTAATTGAAAACGCATCCTGCGCGAGGGCTGCTCGCGAAAACTCCAGGGAGCAATAACGAGCCAGCTGTGCATTGGTGGGTGAGGCGAACAGGTCAATGGAATGAGGCCCCCAACGCCTCTCGAGCAAAAGGAACCAAGGACGCGCGAGAGAGTAGTCGTCGTGAAGTTCCAGTTTTGACAATGTATCAGCCTCGGTATTGAGCTCGCGCGGGATCCATTGGACCGTCAGTCGAATCTTGTGACGCACACAGAGCTGAATGATGGCCCGGCATACAATTGTCAGCTCGGAACGACGTGAGCCCCCTTTCCTCAAAATGTAATAGGCTGCCTGGCTGTCGCTGCGCAGAAGGATGTGGCAGCGCTGAACCTCGTCAGCAAAGGAGGAGAGGGCCCAGAGAATTCCCGCGAGTTCGCGAAGCGTGCTGGACGAGGCGACAAGAGCCTGAGGTAAGTGTGATGAAAGCGATCCGACGCGACCATCGGGTGCGGAATAGCAAGCCCCCCAAGCGCTGTCGCTCGCGTCCACATACATCACGATGTCGTATAGATATGGATTGTGAAAACACGAACCGTTGAACACATCGAACTGGGAGAGCCAAAAGCGCAACTCGTCAATTGACTCCGCGTTCAAGAGGACTGAGTCTCCCCAGGATGAGCAATCCGAGATTTGTGAAAGTAGATTGTGCGAAAAGGCACGCGCGAGGGTGCCGAGGGCGAGCGCCATAGAGGCAAGCATGCCAGTAATGCGAGCGACGCGTCGGACCGGGATGCGCCGCCCCCGCCCGCCAAGCGTGCAAGTCTGTTGGAGCTCGACAAGCAATCGCTCTCGTCGATCAGCGTCGACGGAGAAAGAGGTTGTGCGCGTGTCCAGTCTGAGTCCTAGGAATTTGAGGCACTGACTTGGCTCGAGCTGCGATTTTTTTGAGTTGATGACGAATCCGGCCGCTGTGAGGTCGGCCAAGATGATAGCTCGATTGCGAAGGGCCTCAGCTCGAGTGGCATTTATAAAAAGGATGTCGTCAACATATGGGATAAGTCGAATGCCTTTGCTGCGCCAGCGCTTTGCGAGCTGCTTGATTAGTTGGGTGAAGACAAACGGCGCAGTGGCCAGCCCAAAAGGCAGGGATAGGAACTGATAGCGTTGTCCTTGGAGGGTGAAACCAAGAAACCGCCAATATGCGGGGTGGATGTCCACATGGTGGTATCCGGCCTTCAGATCGATGGTGAATAGCCAATCGTCTCGATGCACCAAGTCGGGCACCCGGTTAAGGCCCTCGTAACGAAATCGTGGGACGGACAAGAATGTATTCACGTGTCGAAGGTCCAATATGAGTCTCTTTTTTGAAGGTTGGACGACTACATTTAAAGGGCTGACGCATGTGAGGGGTTCCGACGGGGGCACCATTCGGGCCGCTCCTGTCGCTAGTAGCTCGGTGACTGCCTCGACCGCAAATGCGGTAAATTGAATGGCACCCGAGTGGTTTGCCGCGTGGTGGGGAGTGGGCTCCGAGGATGCCCACGGAAGACGGTAGCCGGATGTGATTACTGACATGATAAAGCGGCTATCACACCAGGCGGCCCACCAGCTGGCGCACGCACCAAGGCGACCACGCATGAAAGGTGTGCCGGTGGGTGAAGTGTCGAGAGCGGCGAGGACGTCCAGCTCTGGTAAGGGGTGCAGGGAGGAGCGTACGAAGAAGGGTGAGTGTTGAGGCCACGTAATCGTATCTTATCATCTTTTTTTTTTTTTTTTTTTTTTTTTTTTTTTTTTTTTTTTTTTTTACTCGTCTCTTTTGCATTACCTCCTGCCTTCCTTTCTTCTCTCTCTCTCTTGAACCCCTTCTCCTCCTCCCTCTTTCTTCATCTTCTTTCGGTCTCTCTCTCTCTCTCTCTCTCTCTTTTTTTGTTTTTTTTTTTTGTTAGTAGAATCGCATCGGTAAAGTAAAAAGGGCAATCATTTTTAAATAAGACAGTTGCTCGTAGATCTGAAAAATTATAACGGCATAATCATACATAGATCTTCACACAATCTTAGTGGGCCTATTGGCGCCCTGGCCACGCTGGGGGCAATCCGCGATCCCATGTCCGGGTTCGCGACAGTAGAAACAACGCCCGTCACCGTCACGGCGCCACGTGTTCCAATTACGCTCTCCTTGGCCTCGACCACGAGGGGGAGGGTCGCTACGGGAGCTCGCATGGGTGGGGCGATTAGGTCTCTTTTTGTTAGCCGCCACGATTTGAGTGGCAGCCTTTACATTCTTATCTTCCACCACTTCGCCATATTTAATCTTTAAGGCCATATTGGCCACCTCAAAACCACGTTGGTCGGCGGTAAAGAGAAAATGAATCTTTTCCTCCGCTTCGTCAACTATTTGCTGGAGGTAGTCGGCAGCTTACTCGCCGCCGCTAGAAGGCAAAACAGAAATGGCGTGACGTGCAATAGCTTGAATACGCTCGAAACTAAAAAGTTGCGTGCGGATACCATCACTTTTCACTAAGGAGGAACGCAGCTGGGGGCGAGCAGGGGGGATGGGAGCAAGGCTGAAGGTGGCAGAGCTGGGTTTGGGACGGGCTGCATTACCTTCATCCGAATTCTCGATGGGTGCGTTGTCGCCCGCGTCGTCGCCATCGGGTTCGTTGGCCGGAGGGGGGAGGCGAGAGCGTGGTGCTGCCGCTGCTGCTGCGGGACGATCAGGTCATGAAGGCGGTGCGGGATCGCCGTTATTTCCGCGCTGGAGAGCAGCGAGGAGGCCGATGACGTGATGTATGGCTTCGTTGTTGGCGGCGGCAGGAATTTCATTGTTGGTATAACGAGCGGAATAATTTTCTGCTGCGCGGGGCGCTGTAGATGCAGTGGAGCGCGCTGAAACACGTTCGCCAGCAGCTCCCGTGAAGATTCGCTGAAGGTTTCGCTGGGCTGCCGGGTCAAGACGCGCGAGAATCTCGGCAAAATCCGCTGCTGCAGAAGGCGAGATTCGACAATCTTGAGAAGCGCGCGGATTCGCCGGGCGAGGTGCAGGATCTGGGCGTCGAGATTCTCGCCCTTGGTCCTGATCCTGGCGATCCGCGCGGCGGTCAAGATTGCGATCTTGACCGAGATCGCGATCGCCGGCCCCACGCGCAGGACCCTCATGATTACGGTCCACACGCGCAGGGTCGCGATCATTACGATCGCCACGCGCAGGACCAGAGGGTGCCGCGCGTGTGGCGTTTTCGGCCGTTGCTGGGGCTTCCTCGGGAATGGGCGCGACATTTCCGTCAGGTGCGTTCGTTTCGCCTCCACGTAACCCGTCCGCACGTCGTTCGCCGTGAAATCCGGGAGGAAAATCCCGACGGGAAGATCCGTCACGATCGCCTCCTGCAGCTCTCGGGCTTCGAGGAGGAGCTTGTCGCGCACGATTCAATAAATCCAGAGCAGTAACAGCAGCAAAATTTCCGCCACGGGGAGAGCGAGAACGCTCACGACGTGAAGAGGAGTCCCGATCCCCATCACGTTGCGGAGAACCACCACGACCACTGCTCCGTAAATTCATTCGAGAAGCGGGAGGCCTTCCGCCAACAGCGGAGACAAGTCCGCCAGTCATGCTATTAAAACGGACAGCAATAACGTCTGCTAACAAGGTGCTCCTATGCCCAGATCTGGGCATAGGAAGGGTTTAGTGTGTGCTGGTGGAAACTAGAGAAGTGAAAACTGCAAATGAGACTAGGTGGTAGGTCCCGAGGACCTGCCGAAAGGTAAAGGAGAATGTCTCCTTTACAGCAAACCCCTCTTCAAGTCGAACCACAATCTGTAATTTTTTTTGTTACAAAAAATTTCTCATGTTCTTTTGTTGAACCCACACAACAGAAACTTCGTACATGCAGCGATTACATGCCAAAAATTTGAGCAGTGTCTGAATACTTGCTTGTCTTCTCCGACATGTTGAGGTGGCGTACTTGAGTGGTATGTCATAATTCAATCATGAAGGACCACATAAGCTGCTATGCTCTAGAGAAAGCAAAATGAGCACTAGGATAATGCTCAGCTGAGACATATTCTGCTAATATACAGTGAGCCTCAAACCGCTTCTCATTGGCACGTGAATCCATGGCAGATGGAGAGCCAAATGATCAAAGCGAGCACCACCAGAATGCCAATTACAACAGCTTTCACCTTCATGTTTTCCCACCACATCTTTTTCTTAATCTCGGTGCCTTGCTTCTTAAATTGGCTAGCCTGCACAAACCAATACGGCAGTGGTTGAGTCAGAAGTTGCAACGTTACACATATCTTTAGAGCAAGCTTTCACAACTTTGACCCTACCTGAGTCGACAGAACGTCTGCCTTCTCCGCTAGAAGCTCCATCTTCTCGCCTCGTTGCAAAACCTGAAATACCAAGGTGGCAGGTAAGAACGGTGCCCAATGCCACGGGTTCCGGCAATCTATGAATGTAAGTGGCTCTCACCTTTTCAATGTTATCCTTCATCACACCCTTGACTTCAGCCACTTGTGCCTTGATCTTGGCGAACTTGCTCATCTCCTCAGGGTGCTCGGCCACGTACTTCATGTGCTCCTTCAGCTTCGGCCTGAATGTACGAATAAGTCATTCAAATCTAGAAGGCAACGATAAGCATAAAAGCCATAACGGTAAAAGTGGAAAAACTCACCCAAACTCCTTGTTCAAGGCATGGGCTCCAAGATTCGCAGCCTTGCTAGCATATCTGGCGTTGAAGTCATCCTTGATACGCTCCAGAAAGGCGAATATGATTTGCCGGGTGACGTCTTGGTCCGCAAGGACCATGTAGGCTGCAGATTCAGAATTCGAACGTTAAGACCACGGAGGAAACATATGTGCTGATTTCATCTACCGTAGATCCGATGAAAACCGTACCATATCCGTTCTCCAGGAGATAGTTCAGTGTGTGGCCACCATGCGGGAACGTAAATTTGTTATTTTCTTGCGGCATCTTCTCCAGGCATTGAAGGGCGATGGTGTTGAAGTTGCCCTTGAAAGAGGTATATTCAGCGAGAACTACCGTGCCCCTGGCCACGAACGAATAGATGAGCTGACCCATGGCGATTTCTCTCAGAGTCGAAATAAAACACGAAAGCACGGAAGCTTCGTCTGCCTTGATATCCCTGTGGAACAGAAGACGAGCACACTAAGCGGCTCAAAGCTAAGCAGCCTGAAAAGAAAATAGAACAGAAGTGATGTTTGATTGGGAAGGGTGGAGATCTCTTGGGACCATGAAGCAGATGCAGAGGAAAACCTGGAGAATGTCACCAGGAGACATCTGTCCCGCATCCCAGGATCCCCTGGAATCTGGCTGTGGGGCTCCTGCCGCTGAACTGTCCGGCGCAAGCTTTCCCCTCCCGCGCCCTAAAATGGGCCAAGCGCGTTTCAGCGCCTGTGCTACAGTTCGGTGTGGTGTCGCCCTGTGTGTCAGGGGCCCGACAGCTGTGCGCGGGAAGCCTTGCTCGGGGTGCGGAGCGAATGGCAAAGTTTGCGCGCAGGCGACTCTGGCTGGCACCGCTGAAGCTCTAGACCTCGTTAAAGAGAAAACGGTTGTTTGATATAGCGAATCGGGAAATAGTGAGGATAATGATCGCAACAAAAAAAGCAATGGAACGCGATCAGAAATTTGTCACAAAACATTTCATTTGACATTCATTGGCTGCTACCACCCCGCAGCCTTCCCAAACCACCATTGCGTTGTTCCTACTGCTGGTGTTCGCTGGTAGTTATTTTACAGCAGGCACGCTTTTATTGCGCACGCTTCACCATACTCACAACACCTCTTCTGCAAAGGGTAGTAAGTTACAGCGGCGAAAAAACTCTTATTTTGCCCTTTTTAAAACGTCGCCTTCGGCTTACTCCCTTTCCCGTTGTAATCTCCGTGGGTATAATAATCGCTCGGCAGACATGAGCGACGGTCATGGTGGCACACTCGAAGAAGAACTGGAAACTCAGGATCCCAAGGCGGCCGACGCGGGATCGGACGATGAGGAGGACGAGGAAGATGCGGGAGGGGTGTCGGATGGACAGCAGGAGGGTTCTGGCGGCGAGTCTAAGGACGGAGGAGGGGAGACCGCGAACGGAACAGGGAAAAAGAAGAAGAAAAAGCAGGTGGGAACGGGGACGGAGAGAGCTTGTTGCCGACCGGTTTTAGAACGCATTTCCTTTACTTTCCGCAAACCCGAGCCTTGTCAATTTCAAACATTCTCGTCTATTTGTTTAACCTTTTATATTTCTCCGTTCTCTCCTGCTTCCTTGGCGGGGTTTTCGCAGAAAAAGCGCAAGAAGAAGGGCGCGGGTGGGGGATCCAGTGACGGCTCCTCCTCAGGCTCTGCCTCCCCGAGCGCTTCTCCGCCCACCTCCCCTTCTGCCAACTCCGCGCCCGCCGCTCCGTTCCCTCCGTCGTCGTCCGCGGATGCCCCCCTGTGCCAGCCGGACCTGGATGACATGCTGCCCGTCGAGGTGGCGGAAAAGAGGTGGGTCGTTTGGGGGAAGTGAGGGGGAGGGAAGAGAAGGGGAAGAGAGGGGGGGAGCGATGGGGGAAGCGATGTGGAAGAGAGGTGGAAGTGAGGGGGAAGAGAGGGAAATAATAGGGGGAAGAGTGGGAAGAGTAGGGGGAAGAGAGGTTAGGAAATAGGAAGCTGCCGGGGTTACATGCCTTGAGTTTTCTCTGTAACAATTGTTGTGTTGACTCAGAAATTAACAAGGTGCATGTCTTGCCATTGAAGGCTGCTTATTTTGGGCGCTGTTTTGCCCCTTTAAAACCAACCCAACCACCCCCGATTCAACCCCCACTCATTCTCCCAACCTCCCTTCCCTGTCCCCTTTTTAGGCTCTCCAATTCTCTCATTTTTCTGTTTCTTTTATTCGTCCACTTCATTTTTCATCAGGTTTGCAGCAGCGCTGGAGTCGATGCGGAGCAAGGCGGATCTGTGCATGTGGGTGCAGCTGCCTCGGTGCACCTAGAGCCCAAGTCTCTTTCCCTCAACCACCCCATATCCAACCCTCACCCGATTCTCCACAATCTCCCCCCTTTCAGGTTTTCTGCAGCGCTGGAGTCAATGCGGAGCAAGGCGGACCTGTGCATGTGGGTGCAGCTGGCGCGGTGCCGCGTGGGCGACAAGAAGCTGCGCCGCCTCACAGACGCCCTCATCCACTGCGAGACAGTCACCTCTGTCGACTTATCAGAGAACCTTATATCGGATGCAGGCTTGCGCCAGCTCGCCTGCGCGCTGTCTGCTCCCAGTGCTGCCCCGGATTTGATTTCCCTGAACGTGAAGCGCAATCCAATCTCGGCGTCTGGGCGGGCGTGTCTGGCGAATCTGCAGGCTGTCAGGAAGCTTGTGAGGGTGAGTGGGTGTGGTGACTGGGGTGGGGCTGTCCGCGAAACCCTAGTGTCTGAGTCAATGCGGCCGTCCCATCCCACTTCACCTCCTGCTGTTTCATTGTTGATGTCCCACCTTACCCGTTTCTTGGATAGAGAACAGGGAGGTGAGGCTGTACCTGCAGCAGATTTGAGACACCTCAAAGCCCATTGGTGTCCCTGGCCCTGCTGTGCTTTGCAGATGAAGCATGAACGGAGCATGCATGCCGCAGCTTTAAGACGTCTCAAGCCCCGTTGATTTCCCTTCCCCTGCTGTTGTCGTGCTTCAGATAGTGTACAGGAGCGCGCCTGCAGCAGTGCTAAGACTTCTCAAAACCTGCTGATGTGCCTCCCGTGTCTTGCAGATAGAGTATGAAGAGATCCCTCCCCCAGCAGCACAGGAGAAGAAGGGCGCGCAGGGAGGCAAGGGGCAGGGCATGGCGGACCCACGTGGCTTTGAAAGCGGGGAGCGGATGGGAGGGAGTTTGGCCAGCAAGGCGAGCAACCCGCAAATCAGGGTGAGGCGAATGCTGGTGTGGATGGGTGAAGGTGAAAGTAGTGTAGGGACATGATGAATTGAGAGACATGGGTTTTGAGAAGTGGCATGGGTGAAGTCTGTTGGGTAGTGCGGTCAGAAAGGCCTCTCATTCACTCTTGTTCACTCCCCCCCATGTCCTCGTCCCACATAGATCGACGCGGCCGTCCGGTTCATCAGGGAAGCATCCGAGAAGCTGCAGCAGATGGCACCAGAGGGCAGCAGCAGTCGGAGTATAGCAACGCGGGTGTTTGATTCGAGCATGATGACGGAGGCACTAGAGGACGTGGTGGAGCTGGTCGATGCTGACCTGCGCCGCAACCCCTCCAAGTCCTACCACAACTCTCCTATTAGCAAGCTGCCGCTGGTGAGATGATTATGAAAAGTTGGTTATGTGACATGTTGCAGGGGGCGGAAGGCTTTGATGGTTGTTGAGCTTGAGGCACGTAGAATGGAGCTGGTCGCTGCTGTCTTGACCTGCGCCGCAACCCCACCAAGTCCTACCACAACTCGCCCATCAACAAGCTTCCCTTAGTGAGACCCTTGTGACAGGTTGGCTATGTTCCAGGGGCCTTAAAGCTTTGATGATTGTTTGTTGGGGTGCGTCGAATGGAGCTGGTGGATGCTGACCTGCGCCGCAACCCCACCAAGTCCTACCACAACTCGCCCATCAACAAGCTGCCCCTCGTGAGACTGTTATTTTATGACAAGTTGGTTATGTGACATGTTCCAGGGGCCTTAAAAGCTTTGATGGTTGTTAAAGCATGTAGAGTGGAGCTGGTCGCTGCTGTGCTGACCTGCGCCGCAACCCCACCAAGTCCTACCACAACTCGCCCATCAACAAGCTGCCCCTGGTGCGCTCACTACCACGCCTGCTTGTGCCGCTCTGGTTTCTATCGTGCATTTGCCCCTTTCTATCCTTTGTATCCCCATACCCCTCCTCCATCACCCCCACCCCCCGCATTCCACATCCCCAGCCGCTGCGGCTGGTGGTGGAGAGTCTACCCACGTTCGCCTCCCTGCTGGAGCTGCCCATACCGCCGCAGCTGTGCCAGCGCAAGCTAGCAGAGCCCGCAGCGGGGCGGCACCGCATCCTGGCGGTGCTGCTGCTGCGCAAGGTGCTGGGGGCTTGTGGGCGCGTGGTGGATGACAGGCTGGCAAGGGAGGACGTGGGGAGGAAGGTGGCGGTGCTGCTGTTTGACTTCCCCTGGAGCAACGTGTTGCACCATGGCGTGTGCTGCTTCCTCATGGTACGTGCGTGCTGCTGCTGCGTAAGGTGCTGGGGGCGTGTGGCTGCTGTTTGATTTTCCCTGGAGCCATGTTCTGCACCATGGGGTCTGCTGCTTCCTCATGGTACGTGCTCCGTTCTTATGTATTTGTCGTAAAGCATGGGGTGCACAAACTCCCCCCCCCGCCCCCCGTCTCCCTCCTCCCTTTCCGTTGCAATGTGCGGCATCACTCCTCCTGATCAATTGCCACTTTAGTCCCCTTTCATCAGTCCGATAATTCTAATCCCGGGCTCTTCTGCTTTCCCCCACCCGCCCTCCGATGGTGCTGCTCTTCACCAGTCCGCCCTGGAGCGTCCCAACTCATCCCTCTCCTCTTCTCTCCTTGACCCCCCTCCCTCCGACGATTCCTCCTCCTCCTCCACATCATCCACCATCACTGCTCTCTCCTCCTCCCCTTCTCTCCCCTCCTCCGCCTCTCCCCCTGCTGCCACCACCGCTGCCACCAGCGCCACCACCACCACCGACAGCACCACCGCTGCTGATGCTGCTGCTGCCTCTGAAGCTGCTGCAGTTTCCGAATCCGCTTCTGCTTCTGCTGCTGCTGCTGCTGCTGCAGAGTCTGCCTCCTCCGATTCCCCCTCCACCTCCCCCGATACTCCGCCCACAAGTGCAGGGGGGGATGAGGGGGCAGTGAGGAAGGCGCGGGGGAGCGGGCAGGGGGAGGGGGAGGCGGACCCCCGGCCCCAGGTGGACGTAGAGCCAGAGGCCAAGCGGGGGCGCGTGAATGGGGAGAAGGGGGAAGCAGGGGAGGAAGGGACAGGCACGGATGTAGAGGTGACGGGTGGAGGGGCGGAGGAGGGTGGTAGTGGGGATGCGAGCAGTGGTGGTGCTGTCAGTGGGGCGAGTGCTGCTGGGAATGTTGATAGCGAGGCTGCTAGTAGTGAGGATAACTCAGGGGGCGGGGAGAAGGTGGAGAGCAAGGGTCAAGGAGAGAAAGGCAGGAAGGGGGCAGAAGAGAAGGCCCAAGGGGAGGACAAGGGGAAGAAACAGGGGGATGGGGAGGGGGATTCCAAGGGGGAGGGTGAAGGGGAGAAGCAGGCAGCAGCAGCAGCGGCAGCAGAGCCAACGGTTCCTTCAGGCCCTCTGGCTCTGCCTGTGAGGCTGGCAGTGACTGCAGCCCCCTGGATCAATACTCCCATTGGCCAACGACCCGGGTAGGCTTTGCGCTGCTTGGGACTTCGGTGTGCCAAGTGTTGATCGTTGAACACTCTCTGGGCCGAAATTCATGCCGAGCTGGGCTGACTCTATGGGTTTGTGTGCTTACCTGTGTGTGCATGTGCGCCGTTATGTCCATATGCGCATGTGCCTCTGGGCTTGTGTGTGGAAACGAAGTGGGGAACGGGGGGTTGCATGTGTGTATTGGTTGTGGTTTTATGTATGTGTGTGGATGTGTGTGCATGTGTGCATGCGTGGATGTGTGCATGTGGTGGTGTTCACAGGCATGCAGGCCCCATCATTCAGCTCATGTTTGACATCAGGGGCAGAGCAACCACCAGCGCGCCACTGCAGGTATGCACCCCCTCACTCTCACCACTGCACGTGTGCACCCCCTCACTCTCACCACTGCACGTGTGCACACCCTCACTCTCACCACTGCACGTGTGCACCCTCACTCTCACGCACTCTGCCAGGTCTTTTGATAAAACACACCTCCTCCTCCCCTCTTCCCTCCTCCCCCCACCTCCTGCCCTCCTACCCTTCCTTGCCATCTCACTCTGCACATCTCTCACTTCCCCCTCTCTTCCCGCCTCCCTTCCCCCCCTCTCCCTCCTCCCTTCCCCCCCTCTCCCCCCTCCCTCCCCCCCCTCTCCCTCCTCCCTTCCCCCCTCCCCATCCACGGCAGGCGAAGCTAGAAAAGCTGTCAGAGTGGCAGGCGTTTGCCCAGCCAGGGGGGCAGCTGGATGAGCTGCTCTCACAGCAGCACGGCGCTCTGTGCGGGCCCAAGCCAGTGGTTCCGGGCAGTGATGCGCCTGACATGGGTGCCGGCAGTGGTGGGCAGAGCATGCTGTTTGGAGAGCCCGACCTGCCTCCCTCTGTGCTTGGGAAACTGAGGGCCATCTACCTTCAGTAAAGAGAAGGTGGGGTAGACTGCCTGGTCAATAAGTATGCCGTTTGCTGCATCTGCGCGAGTGAATAATCATTTGAGCGTGTGATGAGTGATTTTAATGAATGGCTGCATAGTTGTTTCTGGATTCCTTACGGGGTACTTTTTTAATATGTTGTGTGCTTTGTGATTGATTGGATTTGTTGTTTTGTTGTGTAAAAGAAACTGTTGTGTGCTTTAACTGTTGTCCCGAAAATGGTATTGACGTGAAGTACGGCCACTGTAGACCCAACACCTTTCCCTTGTCTCCGCTTGACTAACTTGACGAATGCAGCTGCCGTGATGGCATCGCGCGTCCGTCCGCAAGACCCCACTGGCCCACCACCACCAGCTCCGCGCACGACTCGAAGGAAAACCGAATGTGAATGTGCGTCAATAGTTGACGGAGCAGCGCCAACGGGAAAAAACAAGCTGTGGCATAAGATCGTTCACTTCCAAACAACGCGACTTTCTCGCCAGAAACCCTCTCGAGACTGAAGACTATCAAGTTGCAGCCGAGGGCGTGGTGCATCATTTTGTGCTCCAGGGCAAGGAATGGTGGTGTGGAGTGGAGATAGTCGCTGATGATGCGCGTTGTCTCCTTCTACAGCTCAAGCCACCAGCGACCCACGCACGCAAGCAGAAAGAGACGAACCTGGATATATACTAGGAACTTTGATTAGTGAGGTCTTGTGTCTCTCCTCGCATCACCCGTTCCGTTACGTTGCGCGACGCTCGTCTGCCATGGATTTCTACCTTGCGACGTCAGAGAGCCAGCAACTTCCCGGGAACAGCCGCCCTTTGCTCTCACGTGCTGCTTCCGAGCCCTGTTCTTCCGCCGAATATCGCGCCGAGGATCCCGGCGGACCGCCGTATAAAACTCGCCGTATCCGCTCGGAAGCAATAGCACCAGCAATCGACAGTCCCGTGGAGGCAGCCTCAGTGGCGGCGCCGCAAGAGCCGGGGATGGCGGTCAGAATCAACCGGCCGGACCTGCAGTCGTTGACGGACGTCGTTAACGCTGACGGCCACGCGTGGCTGAAATACGGCGAGAAGCGCATCAGCAAGAACACGGTCATGAGGTAACCTCGTACGCTCGTGTTGCCGAACGATCGCCGATGCTCATGCTGCCCAGCCTTCGCCGATACTGCCGCCCGTCCGCTCAACAATCTCGATTATCCCTGCCCTCTCGTTCTGCTCCCCGCATTCCCGCTGCCGCTACATGCCCGCATGTCACTACTAATCTGACTCATTCGCTCCTTTGCCGTCTCCCGTCGATCCGCCAGGTCTTATTACAAGTGTACGTGGTCGCGAGCTCGCAACCCGTGTCGCGCCACCAAGACTGTTGATTTCGACCCCAGGCGCCCGCGACTCACTGTGGTTCGCGCGCGCTTCGCGCACAACCACGAGGCCGGCGCCTCCTGCCCTCGCCCCGCCGCCGCCCGTCGGGTCCCCCCGCCGCTGCACATCTCCCGCGCCTCCCCTTCCGCCCTCCGCGCCAGATTCTCTGCCAACGCAGCGAGGGAAACTCGCGGCGCTGCCGCTGGCGAAAACTGTTCGCCGGTTTCGCAGCAGTTCGCCAGCACTGGCAATCAGCCGGCGACCCGAAGTTTGTGGTCGCCCATGTCGATTGACGATTCGCCCATTGGGCCGTTGGACGCGGCGCTAAACGCGGCGATGTCGCTCCGCAGCAGCCCCGCGTGCAGCCCCCTCGCGAGCCCTCTCAGCGTGGGCGCACCCTGCGACGCATGCGACAGGCCGAGGGACAGAGCGAGCGACAGGGCGAGCGACAGGGCGAGCGACAGGACGGCTGGTGACGTGGTGATGGGTCTTGGCGAGAGTGCAGTACTGAGGGAGCATGCGGGAGAGGAGAGTCGGCACGTGACAGACATAGCGGTGATAGGAGGGGCGCCGGCACGCAGTCACTCCACTCGCAACACGGGTGCTGGCGCTGCTGTGCGTGGCGCCAGCGCTGCTGTCTACCTCCCTGTTCACGTCGCGACTCATGCTGCTGCGCGCATCACAGCGGACGTCACGGCGAACGTCACGGCAAGTGCAGATCCGTGGGGTGACAGCAACAGGGTGGCAGTGAGCGGGCGTGTATCGGAGCTGCATACAACGAGGGTGGGCACTCTGGTTTGCGCAAACGGCTCGGCGTGGGCCGACCATGGGGGAGGAGAGCAGCGGGTTGCGGTACACGTGTGGAAGGGAGACCCTGCCGTGGGCTCGCAGGAGTATGCGTTCGGTGCTTCCTCTGTTGCTGCTGCCGCCACGCCTGCCCGTCCAACCCATGCCTCTGATCCTGCTGATCTAGCCCGCGCCCCTGTATGCGACCATGCCCGCTGCAGTGCATGTGCGGAAGGGGGCTTTCAAACGAGCCAGTGCCGCTGCAACCAGGAGGAGGGGGAGGAGCAGCCATCATTGGAGCTCTCACTCAGCGCCCCTGGAACGTGTCGGGGTCGAGAGGCCGTGGAGCGTGCTGCCTGGGAGAGAGACGTCAAGGCATGGGGAAGAGCGGCCCCTGTGCCTGTCACTCAAGGACAAGTGCCCCGTGCGCAGCCATTGCCTGCACCAGCAGCAGCAGCAGCACCACAACCACCAGCGGCACCACAACGACCACCAGCGGCAGCAACAGCGCTTCCACCAGCAGCAGCAGAAGCAGAAGCCGCATTCTTGCCGGGGCCCGTGTTTGCGAGCACACAGAGCTGTCTTGCCTCACAGGCTTTCCCCAGCCTTGTGGCAAGCCCACCTGACCTCTGCATGCCCCCCCTGACTGCTGCCGCTGGTGGTGATCTTCTGGAGAGACGGGAGTGCCTTGATGTGCCGCTGCTGCTGTCGCAGCTGTATCAGCCGTGTCAGCCGTCTCAGCTGTGTGGTGCTGGCAGCTTTGCTGCTCCAAGCCGCTGCTACCCACACACAGCCTCCCTGGTGATCGCTGCTGCCACCAATACCTGTTTCCAGGAGTTTTCACATGGATTTACATATTATTATGGTTTGCATGTATGTATAGTGCATTTACGTTGTTATATATATTGATACTTTCATGTTAATAGAATTCGTTTTTGTTTATCTTAAACTGTACTGCCAACAGTGTATCAAGATGCGCAAGAACCCACTAGCGAATGTACAACCCCGTAGAAGCGGGGAATTGGGGTGAATTGTTCAAATGCATCAGCCCCATTCCACTTCAGCAATCCTGAGGCCGTGGCGATGGCTGCGTGGCACCGAGGCGCCACGCGCTACGGTGTCGATCCTGAGGGTTCTTTTCGTGATTGGCGGTCGTATTTCGCGGAACTCGGCGCGGGGAGGAGCCTAGTGCCTAACGCATCGCAAGCCAGGCGAGTTCCGCCTCGTCGTAACTCTCCCTCCCCCGCGTTCTCCCCTCGTCCCGCTCCCCTCCGCGCCCCTCGTTCCGCTCCCCTCATTCCGTGCCCCTTCTTCCGCTCCCCTCCTTCCGCTCCTCTCTTCCGCTTCTCACCTCCGCCCAATTTCGCTTCTCCGCTCCCGCCCCACCTCACCCCTCCCCCGTCTGTGCCCTCCCCGTATTCTTCTAGTGGGTCTTTCCGCCCGTTCCTCCTCCCGTTTGCGCTCGGCGCGCTGATGGGCTCGCTGCTTGTCGCCGTCTCGCTTCTCTCCGCCAATCCCCCCCGCGCTGGCCCCTCCGCGGCTGGCGCGGGGACGTTGGGGGGAGCGGGCGCAAGGGGGAATGCAGCAAGTGGCGCAAGCGACATGGAGCGCGGGGAAGGGGAGTTGTTTTCGCGCGGTGGTGTAACGAGCGGTGTGGTAACCAGCAATGTGGTAACCATATCATCGTCAGGAGGGGCTCTGGATGCCGTTGATTCTTTGCCGGGCCTGTCGGAGGGGTTCGGCTTAACTCTGACGGACCTGGAGCAGAGGTACGGAATAGGAGCAGAGGTACGGAATAGGAGCAGAGGTTGGGGAACGCTCACCCATAGTAAATAGGCCATGGGAAGTGTTGGGGGGTGGTTTTTGAGGGATTTGTATTGGGGGATTGTGGGTTCCAAAGAGCAGGGAGTGGCAATGCCGGACCTGCCCCCTGCGCCCTGCGCCCTGCGCCCTGCCCCCTGCCCCCTGCGCTCTGCACCCTGCCCCCTGCCCCCTGCCCCCTGCCCCCTGCGCTCTGCACCCTGCCCCCTGCCCCCTGCACCCTGCCCCCTGCCCCCTGCCCCATGCCCCCTGCGCCCTGCACCCTGGCTTTGCCCATCACATCACCTGATTGCGCTCCTACCTACGCCCATGCCCTGCCCCGTGCCCGCGCCCGCCTTCCCCAACCTCCCCAGCGACCCCACGCGCCTGGCGCTCCAGCTCAGCAACCGCCAGCTGGCGGCGCTGATGGCTGACGTGGCGCAATGGGGGGCGAGGAGCGGCGCCAGCATGGACGGCGTGCTGGGGGCGGCCAGGGAGGTGAGGGGGGGGGGGGGCGGGGGGGGGGGAATGAGAAAGAACATGTGCATTTCAGTTGTCTCAGCAAAACCAAACTTGTTTAGCAGGGAAGTGCATGTGGGGCAAGGGGCAACAGGGAAGTGCGTGGGGGGGTGTGGGGCTTCTCGTTTCGTCGGAGGGTGATGTTCTTTCCTCTTGTCTCGATTTGCCTCTCCCATCTCTCCGCCTCCTCTCTCATCCTCTCCCCTCACTCTTCTTCTTCTCAACAGGAACTCCGCGCACTCCTCGCTTCTCCGCACTCCGCCATCCAGCTCGTTTCCCCCTCCTCCCTCCCCCTCCTCCTCTCCTTCCTCCGTCCCGCCAACGCCTCTAAGCACCCCACTGCGTCCGCCCTCTGTGCTGCTCTCACCACTCTTCTGCCCATCGAACCCGCTTCCGTTTCCTCCCTCACTGCTGCTGCTGCTGCTTCTTCTGGAAATTTAGGAGGGGGAGTGGGAGGTGGAGGGGGAGGGAGTGGGAAGGCAGGAAGGGAAGGGGGTGTGTGGAGGGGAGGGGGGGAGGGCATGGGGAGGTGCATGGCGCTCATGTGTCAAGTGGAGCGGCAGCAGATGATGTATGCTCGAGGTGATGTATATACATGCATTCATGTGATGGTGCATGCATGCATGCACACAGTGAGGGCCACTCTGCTCACCTCTCTTGATTCATCCATCTATAAACCAATCCCACGAAACTGTCAGCTGTTACCCTCAACTGACTCTCAAAGGGCATCTGTTGCCTCTGTTTACTCACCTAGAAGACGACTCACACATCATCTGCTCTGCTCCCTTTTGAGTCGACTCAAAAGTCAACTCTGTTTACTCACCTAATGGACGACTCACACATCGCCTGCTCTGCTCCCTCTGTGCACACGGCAGCAAGGGAGGAGTATGAGGAGTTGGTGCGGGAGAGGGGCGCGTGGGAGGTGGTGAGGTTGCATCGGGAGTGGGTGGAGGCGCGGAGGGAGTGGATGGGACCTGCTCGCAGCACCATGGAAGCACTTCAGCGCCTCATGAGCATGCCGCCTGGTTCTGGTATGTGGGGACTTATAATGGTGCTGCAGTGGATGCAATGACTCCTCCCGCGGAGGGAGTGGATGGGGCGTGCCCGCAGCGACTCGACTGAAGGACCCTCAGGGCCATAAGCATGTATCCGCGCATGCGGCAGCAGGGGAGTAGGCCACGTGCATGTTACCGCATGCACCAACCCACACATGCACACGTCACGAGATGTGCACATATGCACACATGCTCACATGCACACATGCTCACATGCACACATGCTCACATGCCCAAGCACATAGCCATGCACACATGCTCACATGCACACATGCTCACATGCTCACATGCCCAAGCACATAGCCATGCACACATGCTCACATGCCCAAGCACATGGCCATGCACACAGCGAGAAGGCACCGATAGGCAGAAGAAAAGGCCCACAAGGGACAGCACCAGTCTATCAAGGTCACAGCGCTCACTTATCGTCATTCTCAAAACCAAGGACTCCCAATCCTCGCCCTTCTCTCTGCCCTCCTCCTTTCAACCCTTCTCAACCCCTTACCTGCATGCCCCACGTCTTGCCCTCACCTGCATGCCCCACGTCTTGCCCCAGGAGTTTTTGAGGATCCAGAGGGGCCCGGGCGAGGCGAAGGTATACCCCATCACCACCACTGCATGGTCCACCTGGCCCTCCGCGCATGATGCATCTGAGTACACGCCCTGTGGTGATCAACCGATGCATCTGAGTACACGCCCTGCAAGAAATGGTGCTGGTTCTTCTCGTGCTGGTGGTGGTGGTGTTGGTGGTGCCGCTACAAAATTATTCTGGTGCTGGTGATGGTATTGATGGTGATGCTAGCAATGGTGATTCTATCGGTGGTGATGCTTATGATGGTGGGTGAGGGGAGGGGGAGGGGAGAGGGGGGCGGGGCAAGCAGCGTACCGACTGGTAGTTTTGGACGGAGTTGGGCTTGGAGTTGACCAGGGCGATGGCCGGATGCACCTGACGGATGGATGGTGGTGCTGCGGGTAGTGATGCTAGCGATGGTGGTGCTAGTGGCAATGGGGCCGGGTGGGGAAGCAGGGCGTGCGTACCGACTGGTAGTTGCGGAAGGAGTCGGGCTTGGAGTTCACCAGGACGATGGCCGGATGCACCTTGGGGAGGGCGATGGGAGGCCAGCGTGAGGGCGGAGAGGAAGCAGAGAGGGTATGAGGGGCAGAGGGAGCATTGGAGGCAGAGTGGGGATGGGAAGCATGGACTGACCCGGTAAACACGGGGATTATCAGGAGGCGTTAGGGTTATTTCTTTGCGAGGGGCTGTGAGTGGAGTGGACATAGCGAGGCGACTCTGAAGTTGCCGCGAGTCAGGCGTTGAGGTTCCTTCTCCTCGGGCCCTAGTTTTACTCTCCTCAATGTTTCACTTCCTTCAACCCCCCATCCCTCCACAATTCCTCCATCCTGCCACCCCTAATTTGCACGCACCTGCACGGCAACATCCCCCCCGTTCCCCTCCCTTGTCGCGCGCACCTGCACGGCGAGAATGAGCCCGAGCCAGCCGTAGTAGTCGATGCTCTCGTACGACCGGATGCCGATGGCCGTCGCCTTCTTCTTCACCTGCGCAGCACGCATGCACGCACGCACGCACACCAACACACACACGCACGCACACGAGCACCGCAAGACTCAGGACATGCCCTGCCCTGACCCGTCCCTTCCTACCCCGCGCTTCCATGGCATCATAAACGATTTCACCCCATGCAAATGAACCAACCAGGTAATGTCCTCGTTATAAGCCCACGCCGCGAAACCACACATCGACCACCCCCCACGCACCTTGGACGTGTCGCACGACGACGGTTTCTTCTTATCGCCGCCGCTATCGTCGTCGCCCTTGGTGCCATATGTGCACGTCGTGTTCCCGGTGTAGGGGTAATTACCCTCCGTCACCATGCCCCCGTATTTCCCCGTCGTCTTCACAACATAGTCCAGCGCGGTCGTCGGCCAGCCGCCCGTGCAGTTGCCCGTTTTGCTGTCGCCGCAGCTCAGCACCTGCTGCGTCGACAGGTACCGCGGCGCCTGCATATAGTCCGACGCGTTGCGCGACACGGCGTATGCGAGCTCGACCGCCGTCACCGCCGCCATTGCCCAGCTGCTGCCTGATGGGGGGAAATGGGGATGCGAGGGGGAGAATGGGGGGAGAGGTGCGGCGAAAACTGAGAGACACCTGGCGGTGGGACGAGGCTTGGAGATAGCAAGGCGGTTCGACGTGTTGGAGGTCGCGTGAGTTAGAAGCAAACGGTGGTGGGGCAATTGATATGCCCCCAACCCACCGAATGTGTTTCGGTGCTCACCGCTTGAGAGAGCTGCAGGTTTCACGAAGTGTGTGGGTTGACTTCGGAAGACCCACTCAATTGGTGCCACATGGCAACACAAGAAGGATCGAGACTAAGGAAGAATTCGGTTCGGTGAAATTCGGGTGCCGAATTTCACCCCTTCGAATTGTTACGCGAATGTTCTCGATGCATCTCGTATGTTACATGCGCGACTCGATGTTTTGAGTAGCTATATATTGTGATTGCTTTGTATGCATGTCATAGTGAAACTCAGAGTTCTTTGTACAAGGTACATTCGAACACAAATTCCAGAGAGCTTCTTTACTTGCATTCAAGAGCACCACCTAGCACGTGAACGCCTATATCTCGGAGAATACTTAGGCGATCGACGTGTTTGACGGCTCGTTGGAAAGCTAAGACAGAGCTCTATCGTTTAGAACAACTCCCAGTTCCTGCAAAGTAGAGGAGAGTCCTCTACAACACGACGGACGTTGACGAATGGGGTGCGGGCGACCAAACGATGCGGGCTTGAGACGGCGAGGCGCAGGCAGTGACGAAAGGCCGCGACGACCGCGACAAGGGCGAGAACGGAAGAAGGAAGTTCGCGGCGGTCGTCGGCGTACCGCAGGAGCCCTGGCTGCGGACTCGGCGGGGCGTGGTCATGCGGTACTCGTTTTTTCTAGGCGTCTACAGAAGTCGCCTAAAAAAAACGCCTCAAATTTTGCCGTACCGCAAGAGCCCTGGTCGCGGACTCGGCCGAGGGTGGACGTGCGATAATTGGTCCAGTTGGCGCTCGTGGCGAGGCCCCACTTGCGCGTGCCCGCGTTGTAGTTCACGCTCGCGAACCGGAAGATGCTGTTCTTCCCCGCCGGCTTCAGCGGCGCCGTCGCCGGGTCGCAGCCCGTGGAGTACGCTGCGCGGGGAAGGGGACGGCGGAGAATGCGGGGAAAATAGGGGCGAATTGCGGGGAGATAAGTTATCTTGAAGGGCAAGGGGGGAAACGAAGCACGACCGAAAAGGTGAAGCAAAGAGATTTGCGCGAAATGTGGATAGGGAGGCGGGGAATGTCACTCAGGGTCACGCATAAGCAGTTCCTGGCGTGTAGAACGGCGAAGTGCGGTGGAACTAATATCTGCATATAAGAGGGAGCTTACTCGCTGTGGCGGTCTGGAATTGCCATTGGACGACGGCGAAGAGGAGAAGAACCGAGAGGAGCGCTTGTCGGGGACTGAGGAAGCGTGACGGATGAAAAGTCGTGCCCATTGTCGGTCTTTGTTTGGGCAGACAAGAGCGCCGGGCTCAAAATTAAAGATTTTATATTAATCGTCGAAGCGTCACGGCTAAGAAAGCGGGTCGTATTGCAAGGCGATGCGTCACGGTGAGACCAGGGTAGCTGGGTGGTCTTTTGCAAAATAGCAATCACAGTCGGTGAGGAAGGGGTACCAGATGTGGGGCTGATTTGGTTCGAAGTGTTTGCTGAGAACGCAAGGCATGGAAACATTACACAAGACATGCGAAATGTGGGTGGTGCTGGTGGTGGGTGGAAGAGGGCAAGGGCTGGGTTAGTTCGGAGGACCGCCTTGCCTCGGCAAGAGGTGTGGTGGTGCTGCCGACAGAGGGACCCAACGGAAGTAACCCCAATAGTTGATCCAACGGCCAGAGAGTGCTCGACTCGAAACGGCGAGAATATCGCACGTGAAGCACAAACGGCGGTACGTTACGTGATTGGCCCTTGATAACCATACCTGAGTGCCACAGTAGAGGGGCATGCCACGTAGGCCTTAGGCTTTGGTGCGCCGCCGCACTGGAGTGGGGTGTGACTGTACTGTAGTTCGTCGAGGCGCGAGAGAGGAAGGCTGCACCGCACCGTACCATCTGCGCTACAGAACAGTAGCCCGATTGCCATTGCAGCTGCAAATTCAGATGCTTTTGGCACTGTAAATTGAATCAGCCTGAAAGCTGGCCCATCGTTATAGACACACTGAAGTGCAGCTTACTCAACCCATGCGAGTACAGTATCATGCTGTTTGACTAAAACCATCAGGCTGTGATAACATCACTATCATGATCAGATGCCGTAATATTCCTGCTCACGTTTGTATGCATGATTGATTCATACTATATACATATTTACACAAACGGAAGATCGCACTGCCTACAGCAAACGGGCGAGGATAGGCACAGCCGACGCCAACTTCCTGTACATGGCACTGGATAATAGTCATTGTGCCTTGAAGAGGGTGACTGTACAGATGTGACCATTCTTCAGCACCTGCAAGAAACCAACAGGGTCCCACGAATAAACACATGTAGACACACCGAAGGGACCCCACAACACGTGATTATTAACTTTACATGAATAAGCGCAACCAAAATGTCACACCCGTGTGTGCAATGTGCATGCGTCTCACCTCAAATGCCAAGTGGCGGAAGCCGTACACAAAGGTGGGCCCAAACGCCCTGTGCAAGGCTCCTGCTGTCTGTATGGCCGCCCGTCCACCTCCTCCAAAAAGCTTCTGCGGAACCATGAAAGAAGAAGCTAAGTGTCGAAATGTCAAGATCCAGTAATCGAATTCCGCCATGCATCTACATTGCTGCTGTCACAAGTGACATTGGTGAAATCTATAGCCGCCTGAGTATACCTTTTTCCACACGGCACTGACCTGATGAAAATTGAAAAATTAACAGGGTGATCAACCTGAGTGAGGTTACACGTGAGCTCACCTGCACATGATCCCACTTGGAGTCAGGTGTTACACAGAGCGATGGGTCCGTCCCTGCACGTGCATCCGAGGCTAAGAGATTAATGCATGACGTGTGGTGAAAGGCAGAAGAGGGAGTAAAGAAGGAGATTGTGAGAAGGTGGGGTTGAGAGCGATGGACACATGCGATGGGGATATGAGTGGAAGGAGACAGAGGAAGCGGCTGAAAGGGAAGCATGTATCGCACGCATCGAGCTCGTAAGAGAGGGGGAGTACGAATTGGGGAGGAAGCCAGGGGGCTGGTGCTCATGGGCTGGTGCTCATGATCTGGTGCTCATACGCTGCACCGCCCGCTCATACGCTGCACCGCACGCTCATACGCTGCACCGCACGCTCATACGCTGCACCGCCCGCTCATACGCTGCACAGCACGATCATACGCTGCCCCGCACGCTCATACGCTGCACCGCCCGCTCATACGCTGCCCCGCACGCTCATACGCTGCACCGCCCGCTCATACGCTGCACCGCCCGCTCATACGCTGCACCGCACGCTCATACGCTGCACCGCCCGCTCATACGCTGCACCGCACGCTCATACGCTGCACCGCCCGCTCATACGCTGCACCGCCCGCTCATACGCTGCACCGCCCGCTCATACGCTGCACCGCCCGCTCATACGCTGCACCGCACGCTCATACGCTGCACCGCCCGCTCATACGCTGCACCGCACGCTCATACGCTGCATCGCACGCAGCACGCTCATACGCTGCACCGCCCGCTCATACGCTGCACCGCCCGCTCATACGCTGCACCGCCCGCTCATACGCTGCACCGCCCGCTCATACGCTGCCCCGCACGCTCATACGCTGCACCGCCCGCTCATACGCTGCACCGCACGCCCATACGCTGCACCGCCCGCTCATACGCTGCACCGCGCTGCACCGCCCGCTCATACGCTGCACCGCACGCTCATACGCTGCACCGCCCGCTCATACGCTGCACCGCCCGCTCATACGCTGCACCGCACGCTCATACGCTGCACCGCCCGCTCATACGCTGCACCGCACGCTCATACGCTGCACCGCACGCTCATACGCTGCACCGCACGCTCATACGCTGCACCGCACGCTCATACGCTGCACCGCACGCTCATACGCTGCACCGCACGCTCATACGCTGCACCGCCCGCTCATACGCTGCACTGCCCGCTCATACGCTGCACCGCCCGCTCATACGCTGCACCGCCCGCTCATACGCTGCACCGCCCGCTCATACGCTGCACAGCACGCTCATACGCTGCCCCGCACGCTCATACGCTGCACCGCCCGCTCATACGCTGCACCGCCCGCTCATACGCTGCACCGCCCGCTCATACGCTGCACCGCACGCCCATACGCTGCACCGCCCGCTCATACGCTGCACCGCCCGCTCATACGCTGCACAGTACGCTCATACGCTGCCCCGCACGCTCATACGCTGCACCGCCCGGTCATACGCTGCACCGCCCGCTCATACGCTGCACCGCCCGCTCATACGCTGCACCGCACGCCTATACGCTGCACCGCCCGCTCATACGCTGCACCGCCCGCTCATATGCTGCACCGCCCGCTCATACGCTGCACCGCCCGCTCATACGCTGCACCACACGCTCATACGCTGCACCGCCCGCTCATACGCTGCACCGCACGCCCATACGCTGCACCGCCTGCCCATACGCTGCACCGCCCGCTCATACGCTGCACAGCACGCTCATACGCTGCACCGCCCGCTCATACGCTGCACCGCACGCTCATACGCTGCACCGCACGCTCATACGCTGCACCGCCCGCTCATACGCTGCACCGCACGCTCATACGCTGCACCGCACGCTCATATGCTGCACTGCCCGCTCATACGCTGCACCGCCCACTCACACGCTGCACCGCCCACTCACACGCTGCACCGCACGCTCATACGCTGCACCGCACGCTCATACGCTGCACCGCCCGCTCATACGCTGCACCGCCCGCTCATACGCTGCACCGCCCGCTCATACGCTGCACCGCCCGCTCATACGCTGCACAGCACGCTCATACGCTGCCCCGCACGCTCATACGCTGCACCGCCCGCTCATACGCTGCACCGCCCGCTCATACGCTGCACACCACGCTCATACGCTGCCCGCACGCTCATACGCTGCACCGCCCGCTCATACGCTGCACAGCACGCTCATACGCTGCCCCGCACGCTCATACGTTGCACCGCCCGCTCATGCGCTGCACCGCCCGCTCATACGCTGCACCGCCCGCTCATACGCTGCCCGCACGCTCATACGCTGCACCGCACGCTCATACGCTGCACCGCCCGCTCATACGCAGCACCGCCCGCTCATACGCTGCACCGCCCGCTCATACGCTGCACCGCCCGCTCATACGCTGCACCGCCAGCTCATACGCTGAACAGCACGCTCATACGCTGCACCGCCCGCTCATATGCTGCACCGCACGCTCATACGCTGCACCGCACGCTCTTACGCTGCACCGCACGCTCATACGCTGCACCGCACGCTCATACGCTGCACCGCACGCTCATACGCTGCACCGCACGCTCATACGCTGCACCGCACGCTCATACGCTGCACCGCACGCTCATACGCTGCACCGCACGCTATACGCTGCACCGCACGCTCATACGCTGCACCGCACGCTCATACGCTGCCCCGCACGCTCATACGCTGCACTGCCTGCTCATACGCTGCACCGCCCGCTCATACGCTTCACCGCACGCTCATACGCTGCACCGCACGCTCATACGCTGCACCGCACCCTCATACGCTACACCGCACCCTCATACACAGCTCATGGGCTGGTGCGTAAGATCTGGTGCTCATGGGCTGGTGCTCATGGGCTGTGTGGTTTACAGGGGTGGAGAAGTGGCCTTGGAGATATGCATGTGCATTCGCATGGGGAACAGTTGGCGTGGTTGAACGCTCGCGTGCGTGTGCATGGGGTGCGGGGATGCGGAAGTTGCACTTGACATAGTTGTTGCAGTCTGGCTCGCAGGAGGCTTAGTTTACAGGAGGAGAGGGGTAACGCACGTGCGTGGGGCGCGGGGATGCGGAAGTTGCACTTGACATAGTCGTTGAAATCCGGCTGGCCTGGCAGGCAGGAAGCTTGGTTTACAGGAGGAGAGTGGTGGTGAGAGGGGGGGTGGGGGTGGTGTGTGGAACGCACGTGCGTGGGGCGCGGGGATGCGGAAGTTGCATTTGACATAGTCGTTGAAATCCGGCTGGCCCGGCAGGTTGGTGTGCAGCACCAGTTTGCGCACCTCGTAGCTCTGCAAGCAAAACGTGGGCGTGAGAGGGGCAAGAGGAACGTGGGAGGGGGGGGAAAGACGGGGGGAAGGGAAGGGGTGGAGAAAGAGCGATGTGGGGAGTTGAGCAGGTGAGCGTGCAAAACCAGTCGAGAGGGTCTGAGGGAGAAGAGGACGGCATCCATGCATGTGGAAAGGAAGGGGTGGAGGGCATGGGGGAAGGACAAGCAGATCAGCCAGTGTGCTTGCTAGATGCTACCTCTCCATTGCTTATCTCCTGAATCCTAGCTCTCTGTTGTTTTCACCTGACCGCTGAAGATAATATCGAGCCCGCGGGTGTAGTAGCTCCAGATGTAGTCCGGGGGGCCGGAGGATGGGGAGTGAGCGGGCGAGGAGGCGACAGCGAGGGGAGAGGAGGGGGAGGAGGAGAGGGGAGGGGCGAGCGCGGAGTGAATGGCCTTGGCGGAGTCCTGTAGCGCGGAGGGGCGCATGGGGGGACGGAAGGACGGGCGGGAGGTGCATGAAAAGGAGAAGAGGCATATGAGAGCAGCGAGGGAAAGGCATTGAGGAGGAGAGAGATGACTTGGAGTAGAGGAGAGGGTGGAGATGGGAGCAAGGCAGAAACAACAACCGGTTTCCAAGGAAGAATTTATGCAGTGTCGTGAAAACACCCCATGCCCTGCCCCACACTTGCCCCACACCTCCCTTTCAAACCACCCCTGCCCTGCCCCACCCTTGCCCCACACCTCCCTTTCAAACCACCCCTGCCCTGCCCCACCCTTGCCCCACACCTCCCTTTCAAACCACCCCTGCCCTGCCCCACCCTAGCCCTGCCCCACCCCTGCCCCACGCCTGCCCTCCCAGGCACAACCTGCTTGGCTCCCATGAAGCAGGGGCGCCCCAGCTCCGACCACACATCCTGGTCGGGGGGAAGCCGTGAAGAGATGGAGGGTGGGTCCACAAGGGAGGTAGGCACGGGAGGAGAGAAAAGCAAGAGAGAGGAGAGCAAACGGGATAGGACAGGAGTGGGGAGTGGAGTGTGTGCCTTGGGGATGCTAGTGTGTTTGAGAGGAGAGAGGGACGAAGCGCGAGCGATGACAGAGGAGGCTCATGTAATGCCGGGGGGGTGAGCGTGAGGGGAGAGAGAGTGGGGGAGAAGAGTGGGGGAGAAGAGTGGGGGAGAAGAGTGGGGAGGAGGGGAGAGATGCAGGGTGGGCGAGGAGTAGCAGGTGGGCGGGGAGGGGGAGTTGGGCGGAGAGGGACAGGTGTGGGGGAGAAGGGTGGGATGGGAGAGGCTGACCTGAGCGGAGTCCCCAAAGGCAATGCGCTGCCCGCCCTGTGAGAACAGCACCGCCTCTCCCAGCTGGTGGGAAGGGGGAAGGGGGGCAGGGAGGGGGGCAGAGGGGCAGGGAGGAGGGGGGGGGTTGAGGTGCCTCCAGAAGTCCCCAAAGGCAATGCGCTGCCCGCCCTGTGAGAACAGCACTGACTCTCCCAGCTGGTGGGAGGGGGGAAGGGGGCGAGGGGGAAGGGGGCGAGGGGCGGGGAATGGGAGTAGGGGCAACGGGAGGGGGATATGGGCAAGGAAGCGGGGAGGGTGGGGTGGGAAGATGGGAAAGAGTGGGGAGGGAAGAGGGGTTATGAGAGTGAGGGGCATGGGGGAGGGAAGGGGGTTGCCGTATAAAACATAATGCACTCTGGGCAATCTCACCTGCACCAGGAGTGCCTCCATGTTTACCAGGAGTGCCTCCATGTTTACCGCCCCCAATCGCCATCACCCTCACGTGCAACCTCACATCCAACCACAATCCACCAAGCGCCACTTTCTACGCCATCGCATTGCACCCACCTGCACCAACAGTGCCTCCATGTACACGGCCCCGTTCGCCATCACCAGTGGCAGCGACGCAAACCGCTCTGCTGCCCGCCGCAACCCCTCCCCCTCCCCGCTCTCCACTGCCCCCCCTGTGCCCCCTTCGCCCCCTGCACTCCCTGCGGCTCCTGCTCCCCCCACACCCCCTGTTCCCCCCGCCCCCTGCGCGGGCAGAGCCGGTTCCCCCGGCAGGTGCAGCAGCACTCGGGAGAGGCGGGGCGCTGAGCCGTCTGGCAGCTGCAGGGGGAGGTCTGGGGGGGAGGGGGAGGGAAGTGGTGGGAAGAGAGAGGAGGGGAGAGGCAAGAGTGGAAAGCGGGCTCCCCAGGCAGGTGCAGCAGCACTCGTGAGAGGCGTGGCGCTGAGCCGTATGGCAGCTGCATGGGGAGGTCTGGGGGAGAAAGGGGGAGGAAGGAGCGAGAACGGGAGGAGGGAGGAGGGCGGAATGATAGGGCAGCATGCGGAGAGAGAGAACAGGCGCAGCAGAGCGTTGAGACAGAGCAGGGAGCAGGGAGGGGGACGGAAGGGGAGGAGCAGGGAGGGGGACGGAAGGGGAGGAGCAGGGAAGAGGCGCGGACGGGGGAATGGGACGGAAGGGGAGGAGCAGGGAAGAGGCGCGGACGGGGGAATGGGAATGAAGGGGAAGAAGCAAGGCAGAGGGGGGCGGGGGAATGATAATGGAAGGGGCATGGGTGGGCAGGGGGAGCAGGGCAGGCACTGACCGTGTGTGGGCTGTTGAAAGAAATGTTGGTGAGGGGCGGGGATGGGGAAGAGCAGCGCCATGCCCTGCCCGCACGGAGGGTGAACGGAGCGAGGAGGAGGGCAGGGAGGAGACAGGAAACAGCAGCGAGGAGGAGGGCAGGGAAGAGACAGGAAACAGCAAGGCGAAAGGAAGCAGACGGTGGGTGCACGGGTGGGCAGAGGGAAGAGGGCGCAGGGAACAGGGTGCAGAGGACAAGGCACAGGCGAAGGGCACAGGGCGCACGGCACAGGGGAAAGGGGAAAGGGTGCAGGGCGGGGGGAGCAGCACCGGTTAGGCAAGGGTGTAGCAGCACGTGATGAAGCACAGGGAAAAGGGCGCAGGGCAGGGGGCACAGCGCGCATTGCACAGGGCAAGAGGGGCACAGCGCGCATTGCACAGGGCAAGGGGGGCACAGAGCGCATTGCACAGGGCAAGGGGGGCACAGCGCGCATTGCGCAGGGCAAGGGGGGCACAGCGCGCATTGCACAGGGCAAGGGGGGAGCAGTACCGGGTAGGCGAGGGTGTAGCAGGCGGATCGAGCGGTGTAGGCGCCGGGGAAGGTGGGGCCGAGCACTGAATACACGTGCGCGAAGGTGGGCGCCTGCATGGGGCCTCTGGGTGACGCAGCAAGGAGCACAAAGGAGGAGGGAGGAGAAGGTGCAATGTGCTGTGAAAGGTGGGAACCCGCACTGAATACGCACGGGCGAATGATGGCGCGTGCATCATGCGCAGGTGGCGAGAACGAGGGTGAACAGCACAGCATACGGAGCCTTTGAGCGCGGCTTGGCAGGAAAATGGCATTCCCGAACGAGGGTGGGCGGGTGATAGCAGAGAGGGCAGAGAGGGCAGGCACGCATACCCGAGCAGCGAGGCTCCGAATCGCAGGTGCAGGCGGGAGATGTCCGCCACGTCTATGCGGTGCAGTCGCTGGGGGGGGGGGGGGGAGCGGAGGGGGGCGGGGGAAGAATGAATGGGCGACAGAAGCATGTGAGAAGGTAAGATGGCAGGTGTGAGAGCAAGACGTCATGGGGGAGTGCGGAGGGCGAGAGGGAGAAGACGAGAAGCCTCACCTGCACGTGAGGGTCGAAGCAGAGGCGGAAGCCGAGGTGGGGGAATGCGATGACTATGTCCAGCGATAGAGGCTCCTGGGGGAGGGGGGGAAGGGGATGGGGGGAGGAGGGGGGGGGGTGTGGGGAGGAGGGGGGGGGTGTGGGGACGAATCAAATCCCCGTTCCCGGAATCCCCGTTCCCCGAATCCCCGTTCCCCGAATCTTCGTTCCCCGAATCCCCGTTCCCCGAATCGAATCCCCTGTTCGAATCCCCGTTCCCTGAATCCCCGTTCCCCGAATCGAATCCCCGTTCCCCGAATCCCCGTTCCCCGAATCGAATCCCCGTTCCCCGAATCGAATCCCCGTTCCCCGAATCGAATCCCCGTTCCCCGAATCGAATCCCCGTTCCCCGAATCGAATCCCCGTTCCCCGAATTGAATCCCCGTTCCTCGATTTGAATCCCCGTTCCCCGAATCGAATCCCCGTTCCCCGAATCCAATTCCCGTTCCCCGAATCGAATCCCCGTTCCTCGATTTGAATCCCCGTTCCCCGAATCCCGAATCCCCGAATCGAATCCCCGTTCCCCGAATCGAATCCCCTGTTCGAATCCCCGTCCCCCGAATCGAATCGCCGTTCCCCCAATCGAATCCCCATTCTCCGAATCGAATCCCCGTTCCCCGAATCGAATCCCCGTTCCCCGAATCGAATCCCCGTCCCCCGAATCGAATCCCCGTTCCCCGAATCGAATCCCCGTTCCCCGAATCGAATCCCCGTTCCCCGAATCGAATCCCCGTCCCCCGAATCGAATCCCCGTTCCCCGAATCGAATCCCCGTTCCCCGAATCGAATCCCCGTTCCCCTCCACCTGCTGGCAGCACCGCACCCACCTGGTGGGAGTAGTTGACAACGATGCTGTCGAACACGCCCAGCTGCGCCTCCACCTCCGCGAGCGCCTCGCACACCGCCATGCCTGCTCGCCACGCGCACCGCACACGCCGACACGCGCAGGCACGCGCACACACACGCATACACGCGCAGGCAGGCAGCAGGGCGCAGCGCGGGTAGGGGAGTCACGAAGGGGGGAAAGAGCAGCGGGAATGTGGTTACCAGCGGGCGACGAAGAGACGCGAAGAGAACCCGTGAAGAGCGAGAGCGGGTGAAAGAAAGCAAGGAATGGAGGGAAACTCGGGTGGGACGAGCGGCGGGCGGCGGAAATCCCGTAACCAGGAGTGCAGAGCGCGCGCAGCGGAAGAGGACGAGGAGGAGGAGCGGGATTGGGGGAGGCGCACCGAGCGAGAATGGCCCCAGGCCCACCCCCGGACGCAGGTCCAACGTCGCGATGCCCATAGCGCGCGCGCTACCGGCGGAGGTGGTGGAGAGTGATGGACGAGGGGGGATTGAGTGACGCGCGGAAGCGAGTCGACGACGTGTGGATGTTTGTTGTGGACTCGGGCGAAAGCGGGGAGACGGAATTAGGGCTAGCGGGAAGGAGAAGGCTGCGCGCAGTTTACGTTGACGTGCGTGGCGTTGCGACTTGGTCTTTGAGCTCACATCACGATTCACACCAATTGTGTGTATCGTGTTGGTACAGTATGATGGCTCAGACAGTAGAAAAAGGACGAATTTGTGGGAGGGAGGGAAGGGCAATGAAATGTGTGGCAGAAAAAGGACGAATTTGTGTTGCAGTTGACGTGTAGCTGACTCAGCGAAACATTGTACATAATCCAATTTCTACAGCTGTACGAAATATTACACCCAGAAAGAAACTATTTACTATTGAGTCATTCTTTAGAGCAAACAACATCATCAGCCCCGCCTATATTCCCAACCCTGCGCCCTTCAAAAACCTCCCACGTATCTTCCCGTCACTTTGGCTCCCCTTCCCCACGTCTGCTCCATCACGTTACGCTTATACGTCAATAACTACGCCGTTTCGACGAGTCATCGCTTGCGTTAGTGGCGGTACTGTCTGAGCCGACTCAGCGCGCGAAGCAGCGTGAGCGGCGGCGCGCGCGATGGGGAGCAGCGGAGCGGCGGCGGAGCTGCTGGAGCAGCTCGAGAACGATGGCTTCACGGCGCAGCAGATCTTCAATCAGGTACCGCCACGTGGCACTCCGTCTCTCTGCTACCTCCGCTACCCGCTTGACTCCGCTCCGCCGTCTGATTCGTTCCGTTCCGGAGATCGCCGCCTTGCTCTTCCCCACCATGCGTTTAAATCCAATGGTGCATTGCCACGTGCAGGGCGTGGCGTACACCTACGACGATTGCATCTTCCATCCGCGCCACATCAGCTTCGCCGCGTCCGACGTGGACCTGACGGGGCGCGTGACACGTGGCATTTCCCTGCGCATGCCCCTCGTCAGCTCGCCGATGGACACGGTGACGGAGGCGGAAATGGCGGCGGCGATGGCGGCGGTGGGGGGGATGGGGTTTATCCACTACAACAACAGCGTGCAGGAGCAAGCGGATTTGATTCGGCAGGCGAAGCAGTGGCGCGTGGGAGTGGTCAACGTGCCGCCCACTCTGCCGCCCACAAGCACCGTGCAGGTAGGTGGGGGAGGGGGGTGTCGTGCGGGGTGGGAGTGGGTGCCAGCATTGCATGCACGAGAGTGACGTGGCACGTGAAGGATGACGTGGCTCACCGTCACGTGGAATGTTCTGCCAGTCACCTAAGGCATTGCCACCCCCACTCTCCTCTCCCTTCCGTATTCCCCGCCCCATTTTCCCTCCCTCTTTTTCTCCTCCCCCCCCCCCCCCCCCTCCCCTCCCCGCCTTTCCCTCTCTCCGCCGCCCCTCCCCCCACTTTCTCTCCCCCTTTCGCGCGCCAGGCATGGGAGGGCTTGGTGGAGGCGGGCGGGCAGGGCGCGGTGTGCGTGACGGACGACGGCAGTGCGGGCGGCAGGCTGGTGGGCGTGGTCACGCAGAACGACGTTGACTTCGTTGACTCCAGGTGGGGTGACGAGACGAAGGGTAGGGGGAGGGATGGGGGGCGGGGGGGAGAGAGAGGAAGTGGGGGATTGGTGGAAAGGAACAGGGGATGGCAAAGGCTGGGGTTGGTGGTGGGGGAGGGGGGGGAGGTGGACAAGAGTGGAAGCAGTACGAATTGGGCGGAGGGTCAGACTCATTTCTCACAATCCTGACGCACCATGCCTCGTTCCCCATGCCCTCCCTCTGCTCCTCTCCTCCGCCTCCTGCTCTCCTCCCGTCCCCGCTCCTCTCTGTTTCCCCATTTGTCCGTTTCCGCTCCCTCTTCCCCCCCGCACTTCCTCCCCACGCCCCTCAGGGACCTCGTCACCGCCGCGCCCTCTATGCCCCCCTTACTCACTTCCGCCTCCCGCTCTCCTCCCTCCGTTCTGTTCTCTATCTTCCACCACCCCCTTTCCCCCTCCCCCCAATCAGCGCGGCGCTGCTATCGGACGTGATGACGCCCCTCAAGGACCTCGTCACCGCGCCGCCCTCCTGCTCGCACGAAGACGCCAAGAAGCTTCTCCAGGTAGGCTCCCCGTAGCCGCTTGCTGCTTGCCGTGTGGCAAACACCTCCCTCTTCCTCTCTCGCTTCCGAGTCACCTTGTGAAAAGGTGCCTCTGAGCCCTGGACTGGAGAAGCGGCTCAAGCACCACCTCGCACTGCCCTCTCTCTCCCTTCCCTTGCCCCATCCTCCCTGCCCTCCCATCCCTCCCACTTCCCTCTCCCCCAGGAGTCGGAGCGCAGCAGCGTCACATTGCTCTCAAGGGCCTGCTCACCCACTCGCTGCTCAAGCACCAACTCGCCCTGCCCCCTCTCTCCTCTCCTCCCTCCTGCCCCATCCCCCCCTGCCTTCCCATCATCCCACCCATCCCCCCCTTCCCTCTCCCCCAGGAGACGAAGCGCAGTACCATCCCGCTAGTCGCGGAGGACGGCACTCTCAAGGGGCGCCTCACGCGCTGCCCCCTCTCCCTCCCCACTCTCCCCTGTTTCCACCCACACAACCTCCCCACACACGAGCAGGAGTGGAAGCGCAGCAGCATCCCGCTAGTGGCGGAGGACGGTACGCTCAAGGGCCTGCTCACGCGCTCGCTGGTGAAGCAGCAATGCGCCCTGCCCCCCCGCGGGGCGCCCTCCCTGGCGGCAGACGGCAGGGCGCTGGTGGGCGCGGCTGTGGGCACGCGGGACAGTGACAGGGAGAGGGTGGCGGCGCTGGTGGAGGCAGGGGTTGATGCCGGTAGGCTGGGGTCTGTCTGTCACAGTTCTTGGGAAGGGGAAGGGGGGGAGAGGAGGGGAGAGGGGGGGGGTGGGGTAGTGGCGATGTGGGCACTCAAGCACTGGTGGGGGTGGTTGTGGGCACGAGGGACAGCGATGGGGAGAGGGTGGAGGTGGTTCTTGATGCCGGTAGGTGGGGTCTATGTGGCCGACCCGCTCTGCTCCCTGGCGTGCTTGCGCTCCCCTCACTACTCCTCAACGCCTCTCTCTCTTCCACTACCCTATCCCCACCCCACCTTTCCCGGCTAGGCTTTTTGTGCCTGTGAAAAAACAATTCTCCTCCTCTTCCTCTCTCTTTCCCACCCCTTCCCTGCTCACCCCCCTTTTGTACCTCCCTTTTACCCTTCCCCCTGCCTTCCTCCACCCACCCCCTTCAGTGGTGCTGGACTCCTCGCAGGGCGACTCGTCCTACCAGCTGGCCATGCTGGCGCACTGTAACAATAGACCACTCACGTCCTCTCTCTCTTCCCCCATAACCCCTCCCCTCCCCCACTTCCCCCTCTCCTGCCTCCCCCAGTGGTGCTGGACTCATCGCAGGGCGACTCGTCCTACCAACTGGCCATGCTGGCGCACTGCAAGCGCCAGTTCCCAGACCTGCAGATCATTGCCGGGAACGTGGTTACCGCACGCCAGGTGAGGGCTTTCTCAGCAAGTGGTACCTCGGCAGGCTTGTCTGCTGTCCCTGCTCGCGTGCAATTTCCCTTTTGCGTCCTGCGACTCGCTCATTGCCCTGCGACTCGCTCATTGCCCTGCGACTCGCTCATTGCCCTGCGACTCGCTCATTGCCCTGCGACTCGCTCATTGCCCTGCGACTCGCTCATTGCCCTGCGACTCGCTCATTGCCCTGCGACTCGCTCATTGCCCTGCGACTCGCTCATTGCCCTGCGACTCGCTCATTGCCCTGCGTCGCTTCAGATATCCTCTCCCCTCCCTCCTCATCTGCCCCCCCCCCCCCCCCCCCCTCGCTCTCCTTGCCTCTCCCCCGCCTCCTCCCATCCCGTCCCTTTCGTTTCACACACTTTTCTCTTTTCTCGTGCCTTTCTATGCCAACTCCCCTCTCCTCCCCCGTACTTCCCCCTCATCCGCTCCCCCCTTGCTCCCCCGTGCAGGCGCGGAGGCTGATAGAGGGGGGCGCGGACGGCATACGGGTGGGGATGGGATCAGGTTCTATTTGCACCACACAGGAAGTCTGCGCCGTGGGCAGAGGGCAGGTGAGATGGGGTGACAGGGGGGAATGTGAGGCGGGGTGGGGGCAAGTGGGCACAGAGGCGGGTGAGCAGAGGTGCATGTGAGCCTAGCCTAGGGAAGGGGTGCAGGTGAGCCTAGCCTAGGGAAGGGGTGCAGGTGAAGCTGTGGCTGTGCTGGCCCATGCTGGGTTGTGGATACATTTCTCTTCTTGTACCTCTCATGTCCCTCTCTCCTGCCCTCACCACACTCTCCCACACCCACTGCGCCCCGCTCCTGCAGGCAGCAGCGGTGTTCAAGGTAGCGAGCCTGGCACACGCGATGGGGGAGATCCCAGTGATAGCGGACGGGGGGTGAGCAACACCCCCCAAACCCCTCTGCCCTGCTCACTCTCTCTGCCCGCTCCCCACCCATCGTCCCATCCCTGCAGGCAGCAGCAGTGTTCAAGGTAGCGAGCCTGGCACACACAATGGGCCGCATTCCAGTGATAGCGGAGGGAGGGGTGAGCAACACCCCCCTCGCCGCTCCGCCCTCCTCACTCTCTCTGCCCTCTCCCTATGCCCACTCCTGCGGGCAGCAGCGGTGTTCAAGGTGGCGAGTCTAGCGCATGCAATGGGGGAGATCCCGGTGATAGCGGATGGGGGCGTGAGCAACACGGGCCATGCCTCTCTGCCTCCTCACTCTCTCTGCCCTCTCCTCACCCATCGTGCCCTGTACCTACAGGCAGCAGCAGTGTTCAAGGTTTCAAGTCTCGCTCATGCGATGGGGGAGATCCCGGTGATAGCGGACGGGGGGGTGAGCAACACGGGCCATTTCATCAAGGCGCTGGCCCTCGGCGCCTCCTCTGTCATGGTCGGAAGCTTCCTCGCAGGCACCGATGAGGCGCCCGGGCAAACGTACATTCGGGTGGGTGGCTGCCGTTG